GGTCAATTTGTATAGATCCCAGTTATCCGTCTCCATGGAACTAGTCCACCTTTGTGCGAAAGTTTCACCTGGCGACGTTGCATATGTGAAAAAGCACCCGTGATAGGAAAAAAAGACGGCAGAGCCAAAGGGAGAGGGAAAGAAATAGTACCGGTTAATTTGACTTTAGCCGGAAATAATTTGTTTTCATTTAAAAGAATGTCAAAATGTAAGAGCTTATAGAGAAAAGTATTCTTTGTATTTATGGGGGAATTATACTTGATTAGCTAAGTGATTCAAAATTGAAGTAACGGAAATGGATTTGTCAAATAACCAAATTTTAACTGTAACTTGGCAAAGAGCTACTTGTCGTTATCTGTTGTCCTCAGCTGCTTCTTGAAAAGAATATGTATGTTGTGGTTATGATTTATAAGCTTTTAACAAAACATAAGTTCTTAAGGTCCGCTCAAAAATTACCATAAAAGTGGACAACCAATTCAAAAAAGCCAAGGGACAGCAATATAAATGTATTTGAAGACAAAAATTCCTTTGGTCCAAACTATTTGAACGTTGAACTGGTTGATTCACACTTAGATGGCGCTAATTTAACATGTAGAATGCATGTAGAAAACTTAAAAAATGTAATCTTAGTGTGGCCAGATAACAGTTTTTGGTATTACGCTTGGCGCGTAAAATTAAACTCACATTCAAATACGCGTTTAACCATTTAGACTCTACATTTTAGAGCACTAGCAACGATAAAATAAATGATTTCATTAAAAAAAACACATTTCCCATGCTCTAGCTTGCCCCCCGCCAATTCAAAAGCCACAAATCTCATTCGAGTCCAATATATTAAAAACACATTTGCAATGTATTGTGCAAGAATTAATAGTACTTAATCATACATTTCTACATAAACAGAATATAGGTATATTAAAAGCATACTCAACGTCGCTGTATATAAAATATCAAATGCCTCAAAATAACAAAAGTCGACCGAAGGAGAACGAATGGGTTAATTACACTTTGTACGGACAGAGATGTGCTGAATTGCTCACATCGAAAGCAGCGGCTGCATATACAAAAAGATTCTCCCGCGCGATATTCGAAAAATATGTGTCTGTGTATATTCAATTGAGGATTTAGCAATCACATTACTGGCACTCGTTACATTGAAGCAAATTCCCATCTATTTTTGTTTCTAAAGCATTTCCACATCGAGATATCTTAGGTGGCCCCGGAAAGGAGACCCTCTACTTGGCGCCCAGATGGAGCTTGCCCAGCAGGGCGTTCGCCTGCTGTCCGGCCGACTCCTGGGCCTGGCCGGCCGCATCCTGGACGGTCTTCTCGACGGACTGGCGCTTCTGGTCGACGTACTGGTTGGCCTCCTGCAGCTTCTGGTCCACCGCCTGGCTGGTCTGCTTCAGGCCCGCGTCGATGGCGCCCTCCGCCTGCTTCAGCTTCTGGTCCGCCACGGTCTCGGCGGCCTTCACGCTCTTGTTGATGGCGTCGTTGGCCGCCTTCTTGGTCTGGTCCACTGCCGTGGCAGCTGCCCGCTGGGAGGCCTCGGCCACGTTGGCGGCCACCTGCTTCGAGTTCTGGGCCACGGCCTGCGCCTGCGCCACCGTGTTGTCCACCGCCTGCTTGCCCTGGTTAACGGCTCCTGCGGCACGGTTCACGCCCTGGTCGATCGCCTGACCCGCCTTCTGGGCCTCCGCGGTGGCCAGAGCAGCGGCCTCCTTGGCTGTGAAAATAGTAGGGTTATTAGCGGGGAAATTCTTTGGAAACACTTCTCAAAGGGGCCTTTAAAAAAGCGATTATTATCATCAAAAACCATTAGATATCCATCTGCTCAGAGTCTTCAACATTTTTTTTCAATATTTGTTAGAAAATGTTTTTGAAAACAAAAAACTTTCTTGGAAATAAGAAATGCGTCACTGCATCATTAAAGGAATCCATTAATACATGTTCCTAAAAGTTTTGCGTTTTAGATAAATTGAAAATAGAAAACATTTGTTTGAAGAAAAAATATGAAAATCTTTATAAAGCCTAAAGAATTTGTAGATAACTTGTAAACAAAAAGTAGATTTTAAAAATAGTAAAAGTTTTAAAAACCATAACAATAAACTAAGTTATGGTTTTTCCTCTCCATTTAAAAGGTTAAAAATACTTTAGAAAATTTATTTGTCCAATATTTTAAAAAAAGTCTTATTGAAAAATGTAAAATCTTCCTTAATTTCTTTGTATTATTTCAAATCTTTGATAATTATCCCTTTAAGGCCATTTCTGATTTTACTCACCCGTGCTGGCGGCCAACTGCTCGGCCTCTCCCTTGGTCTGCTGCACCGACTGGCCCACCTTCTTGGCCTGCTCCTCGGCTAGCTTCTGGGCCTCGGCGGCCTTGTCGCTGGCCAGCTTCTCGGCCTCATCCTTCTTCTTGCTGAACAGGTTGGCGGTCTTGTCGCCGAAGTTCTTCAAGGAGGCTGACGGGAAATAGATCGGAGGATTAGATTTAAGTCTGGCTTTGGGTTGCTAGGATTACTTTGGTTTTGGCGACTGGGAAACATGCTGACTGGCCCTCTGATTGCTAACTAAGCTCTGAGCTGGCGCCAATTATAATTTATAGCCTGATTTTAATCAGCTTGCTGATCAGAGGATAGATTTCAGATTCCAAATTCCAGACAGGTAATTGCCGAAACATAAGCAAAGCAGCTGGAGCATGAACTATTTACATGACTTAATCGAATCGATTAGACGGGGACAGTCTTTTTTAGAAACTGCGCAACTAGGGGCTGCTAAAATCGTGATCGAACGCCCCATGGCGTCAGCCCTAAAATTTGAGGCACACTCGCCGCTCAGAATAATATTCGCAATTTAATAGAAATTAACGAGCGGCAGCTTTTTGCTGTCCCCGAGAATATGAATTCTTTTGGAGTGACGTGTGCGCTCACTCAAATAGAAACATTGTGCCATTAAACTCGGAACCGGGTGCGAATCGGTTGGTCGAAACGGAAACGGGCGGAACTACGCGAGGAATTTCTTTGTCTACTCATAGTTGTGATATCGGGGGTATGGGTATATGCATATGAGGCAAACAAAGCGCAAATATTCAAATTATTCGGCGTATGTGATGTCATAATGGGGAACCGCTAAACGAAATCGCCTTAGCTTCACGAAATAGCCTCTCTTCACGCTTTCTGATTGCGATCGGGAATGTGTTTATTCTGATTCCGCTCTCCCGGCAGAGATACTTTAATGGATTCTCCACTCGGTTCGTTTCCAAATAATTTAGTTTCGGCCAATTTCATTCCACATTTAATGATCCACTCGCCTTGGCGGAGGCTGGAAATTGTGCGAAAATAATAGTTTCTAGTTGGCCATTGCTGCATATCAAGATTAAGGAATGTATGGGCATGGTTGAGGTGTTAGAATAACTTCCACTACCGAAGGAATTTTAATGTTTCAAACGCTAATAGCTACTGAATATTTGTGGCATTGAACTTGCTTAATAAGTTGGGAATTTAAGTGGAAAAAATCGTGCATTCTACATAGTACAATTTTAGCTATATGTCTAAGGGGTTCATGCAATGCTTAATATATATCATTGCTGTGTGCTGTTTTCGAAATTAAAATCGTATTAAAAGATACTTAAAACACACACGAATGGCGTGTTAGGATTGAGAAACTAAAAAAAAAGTTACTAAAAAGATGGCCAAATGAATAAGGCAAACACCATTTTGTACAATATTCTGTGTTTAATATTCGTCGCCTAATCCCCAAGACTATTTATATGGCTTACACTCAGGGAATTCCTAAGCCAATCCACGCTTTAAAGGCATTTGCGTAATACGACGCATTTTGTTCCTAACAATCTTCAAGCGAGACTGTGGCAGATTGTGGTCAATACTAAAAACCGGCTAGAAGCATGGCCAGAAGGTAACACAATAAGCCCAGAGCCCAGACTCTCACAGCCTCTGATTCGTAGTCGTTTTTGTTGTCGTTGTCGATGTCGTACTCGTACCGCAGATAATGCGCAGAAGCCTCGGAATAGAGGAAAACCTGTAGGTTGGGTACACGAGAACCCTGTTCGGAGCACACACACCTATGCCGCCAGAATGAATATCTATGAGTAACTGCGATTTGAGGTCTGCCGACTCACGTTCCACACCAGTTGTGGATGCCCAAAAGAGCTACAAGCCGTGATGAATCGATGGAGCTACTGCTGCTCTTGTTGTTGTTGATGATGTCATGTGAGATACAAATGCACAATCGAGATACGATATACGACGAATACGAATACGAACACTCGCATACTGAGGCAGCGCGTGGCAGAAAGTGGTGGCATGGAACTCGCACACCCCGCCAATTGCTTTTTACAATCGTCATCCGTGCGAAGGTCGTCTGAGTCAGCTGGCAACAGGCCAAGCAGCCAAAAGGATTCGTGTCCTGGCCCCAGGACAATCCAATAGCTGATGTCATGGGCTCGTCAGGTAAATCAATAGTCGCAAGGAGCGAGGGCAGGTCAGACATCAAGCCCTTGGGGCGGGAAATGCTAATGACTATGAAGTCACTGGAGTTGATCGAATCGCAGGGCTTAATTCATAGTATTTCGGGTGGGTGGGGAATAATCAGCAGCTCCTTAAAGAGCAATTAGGGACTTTGGGACGTCTGAACAATTAAATAATATCATAAATCTCAAACTATTATTTCCCCTCCTGCATAACTCGATATAATACTATAAATATAAGAGGTAATCACGACTACTAAATAAAGTATACCTTTTTAACATAGAAGCAGTATAACATAGCAACTAGAGGGTTAACATCGCTTATAATTCCAGGCCCCCGTGACTTTCTCCGCCTTGATTTCTTCAAGTGTAGCTAATAGTCAATTAAATTGAATGACCCTCAACCTGACCCACTTGCGGGTGAACAAATTAGCCCACGACATTGGCGCAGGCATTCCGGAGGCCTGAACTTGTAATTGAATTAGCCAGACGTTAGGGATGCAGCCGCACCGCCCAAGGGGTTCCAAATCGATTGGACCCACTGCCCCAAGGCGGAGGATATAAGTACAGGAGGCGATCTGAAGCTCCGGCCACTGTGCACCGGCGGAAGCGAGCGAAATGAAGCATCTACTGACCGCACTCGTGGCCCTGCTGAGCATCCTGCCGCGGGGCGAGGTCCTGGGATCGGGAGCCCCCTGCCCGCGTCGCTATCTGCGCAGGATCAACGGCAAGTGCTACTACTTCTCGGTGAAAAAGGTAAGATAATTAATCAATCAGGATCCATAGTTATGAAGTATGTTGCGCAGATGAACTGGTTCGGCGCCCTGAACAACTGCCTGCGCAAAGGACTCACCCTGGCGGACCTGAGCAACCAAAGGGACTTCGACGGCGCCGTCGGCTTCCTGAGCGGCCTAGGCAACACGGAGGACTTCTGGTTCGGGGGCAACGACCTCTACCACGAGGGCCGCTTCCAGTACATCAGCAACGGGCGGCTGGTGCGCTACTACAGCAACTTCAGCAACGTGCTGCCCCTGGAGCACTCCGAGTGCGACGACTGCCTGGAGGTGCGGATCCGCTCGCAGATCACCATGGTCTCGGCGGACAACTGCCAGGAGCGGCAGTACTTCATCTGCTCGGAGCGCTACTGCCAGGACGGGGACGGCGGCAAGAAGCCGAAGCACCACAGCCACGAGCACCTGCACCACTTCCACCACGACATCGGCGAGAGTGCCGACGGCGAGGTGGAGGAGGAGAACCACAGCCGCCAGCAGCCACTCACCAGTGCCTCCACCGAGAAGGAGGAGGCGGACTCGGAGGAGGCGGCAGGAGCGGTTGACGTGCCGGACATCCATGAGCCGGAGACGGAGGCTCCGGCTCCCGGAGGAGAGACCACCGTTGGCGGAGCAGCTGGTACGGAATCAACTGTCGCCGGCGGCGCACCGGAAACCACCGCAGCAGCAGCAGTGGGAGTCACCCCAACGGCAGAAGCAGCTGCTGCGGGAGCCGTCGAAGGAGCAGCCACCACTCCGGCAGCTGCAGCAGAAACCACAGCCGCTGCAGCGGAAACCCCCGCAGAAGCAGCAGCCGCTGAAACTCCGGCTCCACCAGCAACCTAAGCTCATTGCCCCACTGAATCCAGCCGTTCTTTTCGATCACAAATAAACGACAGCCAATAATTAAAGCCGACTTTATAAAATAAATAAAATACAAATAAATATTGTACACCCTGGATACATCAATGAAATTAAAGTTAAAAACTATTTATGCCAAAGTTGCAATTGCTTACGTAATTTAGCTTGCAGAAAATGCTCTTCAAAATAAGTATGACTTTTATATAGATGAGTTTGCAAGAAAAAGGTTCGGGAAGTAGAGCTTGAATTTCTATTTGTCGATATTTAATTTGTTTTTTCCCTTCAAAGCATCGATATTATCGAATCAATATTGTCAAAATATCAAATATCAATCATTTTCAAGCTCTATCTAAAAGGGTTATTTATATGTTTGACTTTAATTTATACAAAGTTTTTTAAATTTCTTAAAAATTTTTTTATTTAGGCATTTATAGATCTTGAAACTAAATATTAGGGTTGTCTCAAATACGTAATATGTTTTACTTTAACTTATCGAGCTGGGAAAAAAACATTAGGTCACCAAAAACAACCTCTTATTGAAATGGAAAGTTTGTTAATCAGAGAACAATGGGGTTCTAGACAGTGATTCAATTATTCAACCTATTTACAATTTCTTTTAATTCAGAAAAAGGCTTTTTTATCCAAGAGGGAAGACTGAAGAGTACCAGCATAATTTTGATACTGATGGTGAGTGAGCAATTACCAACAGAGTCATCAACCCCTGGGCATCAGCATCACTAATTAAGATTAATCAATTCGACGGACTTTATCAGTCAAAGAATTCGCATCACGAAACCAATATGTTTTCCCAGTGAAAATTGGTCACTCCTCAATAATCGATAATGCAGATGTCACGCCCTCGAAAGGGTATATATAGAACAGGGGGCGGCACGCATGTGTACAGTTTGGCTGGACAGGTGGCTCAGTTTTGCTGGCAGCCATGAGGATCCTACCAATTGTGTTACTGACCTTGATGGCGGTCCATTCCGGCTGCGGTCGAAAGCAGAGCAAGAAGGCCAAGGACAAGGGTCCTTGCGGCGGCAAGTCCTTTCTCAAGGAGCTGAACGGAAAGTGCTACTACGTGGCCATCAAAAAGGTGAGGTGATAATGGGGACAAGATCTTCTTTCTTGGATGGGGAATTCAAGAGCCCCTTACGACATAAAAGATATCTAAAAAAACAGACATCGTAACCGAGATTAAAGTCTCTCTACTCTACTCTCTAATTGGCAGCTCAACTGGTTCGGGGCCCAGAACAACTGCCTGCGCAAGGGCCTCAACCTGGCCGACGTGTCCACGGCGGAGGAGTTCAAGGCGCTGACCCACCACATGGCGGTGCAGGTGGGCATGGACGACTACTGGTTCGGGGGCAACGACCTGCAGACGGAGGGCCGCTTCCAGTACATCAGCAGCGGGAAGCTGGTGCGCTACATGGGCGACTACGGCATGGTGGAGGCGACGCACCGCTCGAACATGGACGACTGCCTGGAGATCAGGATTCGGCCCAACCGCACCGTTGTCCTGGACGTGAACTGCCAGGAGAAGAAGTACTTTGTCTGCGAGCAGAGCCAGCAGAAGTGCGCCATTCCGACGGCGGACAGCGATGCCGCCGGCCAGCACCACAGCCACGAGCACTTGCACCACTTCCACCACGACGCCGGCAAGAAGGACAAGCACGAGGGGGCGGGGAAAAAGGAGCAAAGTGTGGAGAGCGACTCGCGGCCAGCTGACAATTCGAATTCAACGGAGATCGGGGTCTCGAAGGAGGCAGAGGCGGAGGGCACGACGGCTGGAGGTGAGGGTGAGACGACGACGGCGGCGGGCGGCACGACGAAGGTGGCTGAGAAGGATGGGGCAACCACTGCCGCCGGGGGTCAAACGACGCCAGCGGACGCCACTGCAGAGCCCGTTGCTGCGACGGAGGCGCCCGCTGCCACTCCGGCAGAAGGAGCCACTACGGCTGCCGAGGAAGCGACTCCCGCGGCAGAAACTCCAGCGACCGAGGCCGCAGCAGCCGCGGAAACACCAGCACCTCCGGCGACCTGAAGCACTAACCCACTAACCCCAACCAGGCGAACCAATAGACCTCTAGGGAATCGAAGAATGTTTGAGCTTTCACAAAATAAATTTGAATTATAACAACACGATGATGAGAAGGAATTTAATCTATCACAAAAGATCTTCATCTAGAAAACCAGTCCAAGAAATCTAATGAATAATAGAATAGAATAGAATAACGCAATATGAACAAATTGATATCCAGTAAAACCTTTTTTTGATTCAGTGATATTATAGTATTTTGTAGGCTATTATACCAATTTAGTAAGGGTAACTTTTTACCTTGTTGGCTTCTACAGAAATCTGTAGCTCGCAGAAATAATAGATTTTAAATTTAAAATTTCCTCAAAAATCAAAAGATTTTCTTTCCAACGAATCGATCATAAAGATCATGCACATTGGCTTCCGCATAATTTATAAAACGAATGTTTTGTCTAGCCCAAATCTCTGATAATCGCAGGGCATTCTGTACAAGATCAGTGTGTTTAAAAAAGAAAAAGATGCAGCTACTATGTATTGAACTACGCAGTCGGTGAGGAATGTCTAGAATCGAATAACATTATCAACTAAGCTAATTTCGTGGAAAGTTCACCATTTGGGGTTACTTACATTTCGATGCATCTGTTTGGCATTGAGTGGGAACAGATAATATTAATAAGCATATATAGAATTTACATATAATCTGTATAGAACAAAAAATAGATGCCTATCTCAAGTGCCAATGCCTGACCATAACGTTTTCAAGAGGAATCTATTGCTGAAGATTTCCAGAAATCGGAAGCAGAGATGGACGATGGAACTTTGGTTCTTTGCACCCACTTCAAAGAATATAAGTGTTCCATTTCGGCCCAAGGAAACACCATAAAGCATAACCCATCAAAGATACAGAATACGCATACAAGCTCCTAGAAACGTATAGTGTGTATCTGGGCAGCTATAATTATATATACGTTCATCGTTTTGGGTGTGGGATGTGCCAGCGAGAACAGCAACTTGTAGTCCATTTGAAGCTACATATAACTGCGCCATAATTGGCTTACGTATCATCCACATCGTCGTCATCATCATCAGAGCCAAGCCAGCGGAGCCACGGTAGCAGACAATTAAGTTTTTGTTACTGCGACCCCGTATCGGATCGAACACGCCCGGTTGGCCAACCAACCCCACCCAATCCCATGTCCGATTCCAGGTCCCGGGTGGCCAGCTGCTCCAACTCCTAATGATGATGTAACTAGTGTTCCTTCCCAAGCGGTCATATGCTAAACACGATTAATTCACTCACTGCACCTAGGTTCGCTTATATGTATGTTTGTACATCTTTCATAGTTGCATATATCGGATACATACATACTGCTTAGATCTAAGATTTCTAATTTCGAAACTTTCACATCAACGTCGGGTGGTTTTCTTTACCTGAAATCGAGCTGAACATTTTGAAACTTTCGGTTTTTCTCGGTCGTTGGAGTCGAAGAACTGATTTTCGGATTCTGTATTTGATCGGATGGGAATTCGAATTTGTTCAGATTTATTTGTGGCCAGCGAGTTGGGTATTTTTGGGGGAGCGCGTTTATTTTTAAACGTCCGACTGCGTCGAGAGCACAGAAACGTATAAAGTCGAAGCGAAAGTAGCCGCTGAGACCTGAACTCACAGAACCCGAAGCGGCGCAATTTTTGTTGTATCTTTTCCTATTTTGTGTTTTGAGTTTGAAAGCGTTGTTGTTCTGCTTTTTGGTGTGGAACCTGTTTGGCCAGTGGTGCCATATCATCGAAAAATGGTTGGGAACCTGGGAAAGCGGTTAAGCAGGGTTAATAAGTATACATTCTTAAAATTTAATAATGTTTGAAAACATATTCCCGAAATGTAATCCCTTTAAATTTATTTCGTCGAGAGAATTTTTTATTTTTTAATGGTCTTTTATTTATACATGGCTTAGGCAAACTTTATTCTATATTCCCTCTCAAGGACAGTGATATATCTCGATAAAAAAACTGGATCGACTTCGACAACTATTTTTAAAACTTCGACGCAGACAAATCATAAAATGAAATTTTGGATTTTTATAAAGTTGCATTAAAAGTTTTATGTCAACCGCTAGCAAGCCCAACTTTATCTGCACATATGAATGTAATTATAAGGTGACGGAATGATTTTGTCTCCTTTAAATTGAAATTTAAAACTGAAAATAAAAAAATATATTTAGACCAATTTTTGTTTAGAGTTGCTGATTACACAGGCCGACAAAATGTGACATGGGTCGGTGTCCAGGCCTGCCACCATTTTATTTCGATAAATGAGGCTTTTCTAAGCATAAGTTGCCACTACGCTTATAGTCCATCAGCTCTGGTATTTGCGGTATCTTTAATTTAAGAAAATCACAAATTTTCTTCGTCTTTGGGGATATATCCTCAAGAGTGGTCAACCAATTTTGGTAATCTTTTCGGAATTAAATAGTTACATGTCTCTTTTATACGGTCGTTTTGGAAAATTCAATCTAACTGAACCACAAGAGAAGGTGGGCGCATTTAAAATTTTAAAGTCACAGCAAAGTTTAAAAATCTTCATTTGTGAACAGCGTTTAAAAATTAAATAAAAATATTTCCTTCTACAATGCATTTTTGATCCAAAGACACCTTATGTCCCTAATTTTTAGGACACTCATCAGGTTTTTGTGTATTGTTTTGGAATTTTTAAAATTGTTTTTCTTACTTCCTTCACAGTGACGATTCACAAACAGTGCCCAAACCTGTCACTATTTTACGTAACTCATAACTGTTTTTGAGCACAAGTGACCCTTGCTTTAAAAATATTTATACATGGGCGTAAGCTAAAAGCTGGAGGGGGATTACACTTCAAGCATTTCAGCCCCCAAAGATTAGTAGGCTACGCTCATGTGCTTATATTCAAATCAAAACTACTTAGATCGTTTAGAAATATGTTATTTAAAATTGTGACAGGTTTGGGCACTGTTTGTGAATCGTCACTGTGAAGGAAGGAAGAAAAACAATTTTATAAATTCCAAAACAATTCACAAAAACCTGATGAGTGTCCTAAAAATTAAGGACATTAGGTGTCTTTGGATCAAAAATGCATCGTAGAAGAAAATATTTTTATTTAATTTTTAAATGCTGTTCACAAATGAAGATTTTTAAACTTTGCTGTGATTTTAAAATTTTGAATGCGCCCACCTCCTCTTGTGGTTGAGTTAGATTGAATAATCCAAAACGACCGTATAAAAGAGACATGTAACTATTTAATTCCGAAAAGATTACCAAAATTGGTTAACCACTATTGAAGATATATCCCCAAAGACGAAGAAAATTTGTGATTTTCTTAAATTAAAGATACCGCAAATACCAGAGCTGATGGACTATAGGCGTAGTGGCGACTTATGCTTAGAAAAGCCTCATTTATCGAAATAAAATGGTGGCAGGCCTGGACACCGACCCATGTCACATTTTGTCGGCCTGTGTTATTTTAAACAAGTTCTCTTGATTTTGACACCTTAACTCGATGTCCCTTTTTAAAATAAATTTGTTATGGCTTACTTTTCAAATATTACATTTCCTTGTTCTTAATCCTCAAATCTCCAAAAGCATATCAGTATTATAATGAACTCGCTGAAACATTATAAAGCAAGTGAGGCTATTGCCGAATTATTTCCGAATCCTTTCTTTTTTTATATTTTTATGTCAAGCTGATTCGGTTGCAGGAGCTACTTTTGGTTTTTTTATTATATCTCATTATATTGTTAAGGATTATAAACACTATGAAACAAATAATAAACAGATCAACTTAAAAAAGAAAAAAAATTAAAGTCGGTAACTTGAAGGAAATTGATTGTACCATGGTTTAATATAATTATAAGCTCTGCAGTATAATTAGTTTCCTTCTAAATCCACTCAGTACAATTTTGTAAGGCAAGCTGAAAGCAATGAGTCTCCTAGTGCGAATACTTTACTGTCTTCCCATATTCTTGCTGAACTTCCATATAGATCAAGCTAATGCCAAAGGAATATGTCTCTATTTAAGCGATAAAATGGTAAGCGCTCTTACAGCAATCAACGTAATGTTATGCTAATTAATCCCCTTTAAAACAGGCGACTTGGTTTGATGCCCTAATTGTCTGCCAGAAGCATCACATGTGTTTGGCTGATCTAAACACCGAAGTTACCCTGATTCAGATGCAAGCTAAGCTGAAGCACGATGACCACGGCTATTGGTTCGGCCTAAATGCACACGAGAAAACCAGCTTCAGATACGTCTCTAACAACAAGACCATTGAGTTCTCCCCAACCGGTTCTAATCTCGTGAACCATGGAGGATGCGCCTTTGTGAAACACGATGATGGCTTTTACAAATTTCAATCCGCCGACTGCCACGCGCAAAAGAGATACATCTGCACCAGAACGGAAGAATGCGACGGAGTAAGCATGAAACCCGGAAAGGCTCAATGTGTCATAAACGAAGAGGAAAAAGAGATTGTGGCCTATTAATTAAATGCTGGCTACAGTCTAATAAAGTGTCTTAGAGCAAGGCATAGATAATTACTTTGTGATAATTGTATTCTGATATTAGGGGAAGTTTTCCTGAGATTCCAAGGGCTTTCTAATCCTACCCTGCGACTAGTCTCTGGAAGCTTTACGCTTTGCTGCCGATTTAAGTTGAGAAAGGTGTGCTCGGCACTTTGTTTTGTAGGCTTGAACCAGTCGTCCCCCAGGTGAAATGGCAATTGACACGTGAATCTGAAAAACCAACTTGTTAATATAACAGGCCTAAAGTTTTGGGTACTAAATCACCTCGAGGTATTGCAATTCCTTTTCGTATTCCAAAGACTTCTCCAAGAGTCCTAGAGTGATCTGAAACTTTTCCGTGCCTAGGATGTAGGTCATTTCACCAATGTTCTGCTTGTACCACTTGGCGTAGTTGTCCAGATTTTTCTGAATATCCATGGTGGATGCAGAGGTAGCCCTTGCAGTCAGCAGCAAATGAAGTAGGGATGTCAGGCAGCCAGTAGAAGCGGTTTGCAAAAGTCTGTTTTTCAAATACTCTGTAAGGGGAAAGGATATCTTAATAGAGTAAGGAACGATGGAAGCAAACTAGTTTCTACTTTTAATGTACGTAGTGGTTTCTGGTTCAGCAGCGCTGGCGATGGATTGTACTAAAATAAGGTAGAACTTCCACTGCCTAAAAGTTTCCATGCTGGACTGTTTGAAAAGGTATTGAAGGACTTCCTGCTGATGCCCAACAAACAGCTGTAAATAATGGTAAGATGTTTAGATACATTTGTGAAGTCCATGCTAAGAATATATAACCTTATCGCAGAGGTGCTTTACAAAAGTAAGTTCGTCCACACCCTCATTGATCCAGGCGCTGAAGTGAGCAAAGGCCTCGTTGATATTCTCCGCTCGGTGGAGTTCCAGCAGGGTATTCAAGTGCATGTTTATGCAAACACTTAAAGCAGCATCTGAGGAATGGGTTATATTATTCTTTAGGAAATCTTGTGGCGATAAACCCACCTGGCAAGGCTTTGCGCAAAGGTTCCACATAACCCAAGTTGCTTATTTTGGGATTGCTAACGAGGCCGGAGTAGAGACTGCCCAAGGCTGCGGTAAGGATTGAGGTTAGCTTCAGTGCAGAGTCGGAAGCTAAAGGTGTATAGTCAAATTAAATAGGGGAAACAGGGATTACTTTAAGGACCAACCGTAAGCTGCGGAAATGAAGATATTGTTTAGAAGCTCGAACTCGGTTTCCAGGAATATGATTAGGTCCACTTGCAGCTCTTCCAAGTGCTCCTTGCTGTGAATGGATGAACTGATCAATCCGCGTGAGCTGCTAACACAAAAACCTACCTAAGGATGTACTGCGTGGCCGTCAGGATGCGGAGTTCCTGGAGCTGAAGGAGCACCCTGAAACTGCCGACATTCGCTGGCAATTGGCAGAAGAACTTGGCGGCCAGGAACTGAAAATCAAGGGTCAGCAAGGCCTCTTTTTGTGGGTTTAATGCAGCCACTCACCCTTTCCTTGCCGTTCAGAATCTTCAGTAGCTGGGCAAATTCGTATCTTTCCACGGATCCAATTTGTTGAATTCCACAATGCTTTTGTATGGTCTGGGGAAAAAAGTCTTTAATAAATGTGAAATCTTCAAGTAACTAATTTACCCTGCAAACAAAGCCAAAGCTGTTTCCGATATTCGAATAACGAAAATCATTCTCCATAGTATCCATTTCGCGGTTTAGTTAAATGAATTCATTTAAAATAATATTTTGTTTTTATGCCGCCAGCAGTATGACCACCACATTTTCTACTTGAAATACCACAATCGATTATTGCCGCCAAATTTATCGATTTATTGCCAGTTTAAAAAACTTACCGTTGGGGCATCCACTGTTTAAATTTTAAATAGATAGTTTTAGATCCATCATTTTGTTTATTTATTAGCGTTTGCTGCTTAGATTATATTATATTCTCTGGTAAAATCCTAATTTAACGGTCCCATAAATGTGTGATTGAATTCATAAATCCAACCTACTTGACGCAGTAATCCTTGCGCTGCTGTCGTATGACCGCGTTTAGTTTCAGGCACTGCTGCCTGAGGGCATCGTTATCCCCCTTGAGGATCTCGATGGTCTCCTCCTGCCGCTGGATGGTCTGGTGGACCCGCTTTTGAAGCTGCTCCATCTCCTGCTTGTGACGCTCACTGAGGACTCCCAATTCGCTTTGGATGTCCGCGTTGAGGTTGTCCCGCAGTCTGTCCCGCTCCATGATGATGTCGCCGCACATCTTCTTGCTGTGGCTGAGCTCCAGCTGCAGCTGCTGCACCTCCGCCTGGCTGTTCCGCACCTGGGCGTCCGCCTCCGCCAGTTTGCCACGGGTCTCCGCGTACTTCTCCCGCAGCGACTTCTCCACGCTCTCGGCCAGAACCAGGTCCTTCTCGTACTTCTCCTTGAGGCGACTGAAAGAAAAGGAGGGTTAGGCCAGGAGAAGATATCAACGAATATACACTCATAAAAATAATTTTCTACATTTTAGAAAATCGCCCTAAAATATTTTTCGCCTTTGAACTGGGAAAAATGTTCTATTTTTACGACAAATTTGCCATAAATTTAAGGCAGGTGACCATAAAAAATATTTGTAGGGTTAATTTTTCTATTTTTCTAATATTTAGGGCGATTTTTTTCGATTTGCTTCGTTTTGACCTTTTCTAAATCCAACGGCGAATTGCCCTAATTTTTTTTCTAAAATTTTTCTAAATACAAGGGCGATTCGCCTTAAAAATCACTCCAAAAGTGTGAAATTTGGTAGCCCAGCGGTCTAATCACTTGCGCTTTCAACTTTGCTATATGAGGACTAAGGTCGTGGGGTTGTGGGTTCGAACCCTGTGTGATTCAACTTTATTTTTATGTTTTTTTTTTTTTTGTAAACATTATAATACTGAGGACATTTTTTCGTCCGAATTTTAAATTAAAGTAGTCTTTAAACCTTAAAAACGTATGGGAGTTCTGAGTTAAAATCATTCTTTGTGTTTGCGGGCAAGAAAACGGCCCTAATTGTCACAGTCGTAATGAAAAATTATAACGTAGACCTCAAGAAAATAAGATGTGTGCAGAGTTTGTATGTCGACTTGCGCGATGGGTCTGTGGTGCAGCGGTAGGACGTAAGACTAAACCGAGAGGTCGTGGGTTCGATTCTTTCAATGACCAAAAAAAGTAAGTTGTTTTTTCTCCTCATATTTATTTCCCTAATTCATTTACAAACATGATTTTTCAGTTCTAACGGCTGTGCTGTATAGGTCGGGCCCCCCTCTTAACGCGGCTCCCATATAAGCTACACACCAATACAATAATATGAAACGGTGTCCTCCGCCGGTTAAAAAAAAAACATGCTTCCCAAATTCAGTTAAACATGCTCAAACACGATTTTTTTTAATTTGTCTAATTTTTTAGGGCATTCGCCTATAAAAACAGAAAATTCGCCCTTAATTTTAGAAAAATACACCTTAAAACAAGAGAGAACGCTATAGTCGGGTTGTTGTCCCGACTATCTAATACCCGTCACTCAGCTAAAGGGAGTGCGAACGCTGTGTCGGGTTGGTGTCCCGACTAATAATCGTAACTCAGCTAAAGGGAGTGCGAGGGAGATAGATATATAATTTTTGATTGCGTATAACTTTTTAATGAATGGTCCGATTTGAAAATGTCTTCTACATTTCGATAGGTATAAATATACACAACAAAATTGCATTTATACTTCTCGGAAATCTTTAAAGATGTGGGCGCAGGACCCATTTTAAAATCGTTAGTGGGCGATTGTGGGCGTTAGAGGAGCGTGGCGCTCGGCTAAAATAAACTTGCGCTGCGTAGGAAGCCAAAGAATATGTGTGGGAAATCTCAACCTTCTAGCTTTTGTAGTTTCTGAGATCTCAGCGTTCATACAGACAGACAGACGGACAGACAGACGGACAGACGGACAGACGGACAGACGGACAGACGGACATGGCTAGATCGACTCGGCTAGTGACCCTGATCAAGAATATATATACTTTATGGGGTCGGAAACGCTTCCTTCTAGCTGTTACATACTTTTGCACGAATCTAGTATACCCTTTTACTCTACGAGTAACGGGTATAATTAGGGCAAATCACCCTAAAATTTCAAGAAAAATCACCCTAAATTAAACCAAATTTCCATCGGGACTTTTTAGAAAATTTTTCTAAACACACGGGCGAATCGCCAGCGGATACGATTTATGGGCGATTTTCTAAATCCACGGGCGAAAAGTCAGTTTTTTAGGGCGATTTAGGGTAAAAATTTCTATGAGTATACTCACTTCATCTTGAGTTCGTGCTCCTCGCCATGCTGCAGTGCGTCGGCCTCCATGCGCACCACCAGTTCGTCCAGCTGGCGATCCCTCTCCGCCCGGTAGTGCTGCCTTATGGCGTTCTCCTTCTCCGCCTGGGCCAACTTGGCCTTGTTCTCGTGTTCCGCCTTCCAGAGCTCAAAGTCCGCCGTGTACTGCTGTTCGATGGTGTTGATGCGGTTCTGGTACTTCTCCTCCTGCTTGGCCATGCGCTCCTGCATTTCGAACTTGGCCTGCTCCAGTTCCTGCTCCTGTTCCCGCAGCGCCTCCTGCCTCCTGGCCATGTGATCGTTCTCCCGCTGCCGCAGCTCCGCCTGCAGTCGCTCCCGCTCCACGGCAAACTCTTCGGTCAGCTTCTGGCGCTGCTCCGCCTGCGTCCTCTGCTCCTCCTCCAGTTGGCGCTCGAACCGCTCCCGGATGGCCGTGCGCTCCTTCTCGATGATGGCCTCTCGATCCTGGGCGCAGCTCTCGCGGATGCCCGTCTCGATCTGCTCGTGCTTCGTGCGCGCCTCCTCCAGAGCGTCGAGCAACTGCATCTGGTGGCTGCGCTTCAGCTCTGTCACCTGGCGTTGGTGGTCGCAGTTCATCTTGTTGATCTCCGCCTCAAGGCCTTTTACCGTGAGTTCCTTGAAGGGGAAATGGGTACATGATTACCGATCCTCCAAAGTGGATTCCTTAATAGGAACTTACCTTGATCTTCTTGGTGTTCTCGCGCACCCAACGCTCCCGCCGAATCTTCTCACCCGCCATGGTGGTCTCCTTGGTCCTAGCCAGCTCCGTTTCCAGGCGGTGCTCCCAGGCCTGGTTCTGGCTCTCCAGGCGACGGGTCAGGGCCGCCACCTTCTCGCACAGGGATCCCTTGTCCTTAAGCAGCTGTTCGATGAAGCCCTGGTGTCGGGTCACCACCTCCTCGTAGTGCTTCTTCTGATCCCGCAACTTGGCGGCCGCGGTGGACTTTTCGGCCCGCAGGCTCTTCTGCTTCTCGCCGCGCAGCTGGAAGACGTGCTCCTTGGACATGTGGATGGCATTGGCCAGCTCATTGGCCCGCAGGCTCAGGGCAATGACCCTTCTGGCCAACTGATGATTGGGCAGCATCAGCAACTCGGACAATCTGTATTCAATGGGAAAATTAGTTAAGGATTCCTGAAAATCGTAAGATCTTTCACCCACTTGGGCACCTCGTCGGTGACATCAGGTTCCACCACGAATTCTACCTCGGATCGATTGCTATCCGGCATGGAGCGACGTGTTTCCATCAGCGTCTTGTCACAACTGCTCTCCACATTGTTCAGATAGGCCAAGATGTCCCTGTAAAGAAGGATCTAAATAGTAAAATTTAAGATAGTTAAAAGTAGGGTTTTCTTACTTGTACTTATCTCCACTTTCAGGAACTGCTCCTTCACTAAGAGTCACCGTTTCGGCGGTCTCGCAACGGGAATCCAGTTTCAAGTTCAATTCGCTGGGAATACGCTCGGAAAAGTTGTCTATTGGGTAATCGAGGATTAATAGTGATATTCTACTTATCAAACCCCTAACTTACCCCTCTTCTTGTCCTCTTCGATCTCCTTGATGACGGATACTATCTCGTCGTAGGTGGAGTCCCTGGAGTCTTCATTCGACTTCAAGGACAGCTGTGAGGCGGTATCGTTGTCCTGACCCTCGTCCAGATCCTCCAATCCCTGCTTGTGCTTGTGGTCGAATTGCTTCTGGTCCTGGATGCTCATCCAGCTGTCTACCTTGTCGAGGTTGTACTCGGACAGCTTTCGCTCCTCCCGCAGGCTGCCCACACTGATGGCCTTCTTCAGTTTCCCCAAAGCTGGAGCTGGATTGACTGCCGGTGACTTGGTCGCCTTGGATTTGCTGTTCCTGACAATGGGATCCGCGCTGGCAGGCTTCACGTTTTCCTTCTTCTTACCCACAAACGGAGGAGTCGAGGCCACCTTGAGGTAGTTGTTAATCACGGATTCAGAGCTGCTATTCCCAAAAGATCTTCTATCCTCGGGCAACGCGGGCAAAAAGTTGTTTTCGGCCCCAAAGTTCCTTGGATTGGAAGTAGCTGATCTGTAGGAGGTGGCACTGTTGGCAGGGGAACTACTAGTGGTCAGGTTCTTGGTTTCGGACAGATTATTCTGCTTTTCCTTCGACGGAGAAGCGTACTTGTCCAAATAGTTGGGCAGAATCTCGATATTGTTGAGGGTTTCGGTTCCGCTTCCCAGGTGGTTCTTGACCACCTGAACTCCCACCACTGCCTGCTTGTACTCCCTGATGACATTCAGCTCCGGTGTGGGAGGATTTGGGAGCGAGGGACTGGGATCAGTGGGCTCCATTAGCTGGGCAGCCTCCACGAATCGGCAGCTGGGCGCATCGCAGGCACACTTGACCTCCGAGGCAGACGCCTCATTGGTGCTCGTGGTGGAGGAGGATCGCGTGCTGCAGGTACAGTTCTCCGAGGGACACTTGGGGTACTCGTAGGTCTCCGCCAGCACTTCTCCCTCGGCGGCCGTGGACCCGAAGTGAACCGATTTCTTCTGACCAGCGGGATCGGCTTGTTCAGCCTTGCCGAGGAAACTGGGAAGCGTTAGAGGACCTGGTGCAGAGATACTGGGACGCACTTCCTGCTTGTCATTGTCGCAGTCACTGGAGTCCAGATCCGTGTGCATATTGGGCTTGCTAAAGGACACCCGGCCCGGAAGATCTGGCTTGGCGGTGCGCTGGAGCAGGGCACCATTGCTGAGGCCCTGGGTTGCCGCGTAGGAGGAGTATGGCTTAGCCTTTTCACCACCACCCCCGGACATGGTGACCAGGAACTGCTCCCCCTCCTCACTGCTGTCGGGGGTGCGTTTGTGAAGCGAGTAGTCCGACTCAGAGGAGTTGCAGGTGCTGCGGTAGAGCCAGCTGCGCTTGATGGGCTCTTCCAGGAGGGATTTCAGCAGGTCGTTGGAGGAAACTTGTCGCTAAAAGAGGCTATTATGACATGGTCAGAGACAAAGGCCCACCTACGTACCTTTCGCAGCTCCTTGTCGCTGCAGAACGTGGTCAGCCGACGACCGAACTTGGGGTCCGCGGACTGCGGTCGTCCGAGGAATGGCGAGGAGCGACTGCGCTGCTGCAGGAAGTTGGCCGAACGGGGCCGGAAATGGGGACACGGACTGTGGAGGGTCGTCAGCGAACGACTGGTGTACTTGGGCTTCGTTTTCTGTCGTGTGGCGAGGTTTATCTGCAAGCCAAGGAACGGACGTTTCAGATAATCCCCGGGGGGGCTTAAAGGATATAGTAAACCCACCTGCGAGCCCTTAAGACATAAATCCATAATAGCTCAAGTTAGGCGCTCATCTAGATAGTTTTCGAACTGAATGCCCTGCCATAGCCTGCTGGTTTTCAAACCGGACTAACTCCAGTTTGTTTTGGCCAACCACCATCATGTTCATTATCGATTAAACGCATGTGCTAGCCAAAAGGGTCAGGAGCAGGCCAGATGTTGGTCAGCACTGCAACCCCCGAAAAGCGGGCGGGTCGGAGTTGACATGGTTACCCTGCCGACAAACCACCTGACCCACCCTCGATCGCCGGAACAGGTGTCGCGTCTTCTCCATGATTCACCACTCCAGTCCCACTCCACTCAATTATTATTTTATTATTATTCGTGTCCCGCAATCAATCACTGACTATCGCAAACCAGCGGAATCGAAGCAATTAATCACGGAGGGCAACTGATTGCGGCTGGAGCATATCGCTGCGAAGGTCACAGCACGGGGTTCAATGCTAGACATCGGCAAACACTTTCGGTTTTCATTCACCACCACCTGAGCTCGTGGTCTTAACATTCTCCGGGGTGTATTTGATAGCCAGCGGTATCTGCGCCTCCCCCGACTTAGGCAGCATTACTCTGACTAATAGTAAACATATTTTAAATATTCCGAAAGAACGCACTAATTCCCCATGAATCAAAATTGTAGAATTATCTATCTCCATATCACGCCATATAAGACCCTTCGAGTTCTAAGACAACACTCGCTTCCACGGACAATTGGTATGCCTCTGTATAAACAAAAATAGTGTTATCTTTGTGGAACAAGTTAAAGTGCTCTACGAGAAAGTAAATAGAACTCATCGTGGAGCCACTCAAGTGCCATTCAATATCCGAGAGGAATATTCCAGTTCAATGTCGCATTCTCAATAATAATAATTTATTTAAATAAAGCAAATGGTGTCTATTGCAATAAACGTAGTTTGGTTTAGCAAGTCCCAGGAACTCGCTTTCGGGGACCGGGCCTCAAGGGGTGGCTTTGCGGGGTTGGGGATTAGGATCTCCACTTAACTCCACTCTCGATACTGACTGATGCGCGAAGCATAAAATTAAATTTGGCAACATTTCTCGTAATCAACTTAGCAGCTAACACAAAATACAATACAATATAGTTGACGTTTCTTGTTTAACAAACAAATTGCACTACTCCTTATCCTTGGACAGCTACAAGGACCTCCTAGTCTGATCGTAGAACGGGCGTCACCTGGACCTCGTTCTGGTCGTCGCTCTTGATGTCGAACTTCAGTTTGGTCAGCTCCTTGAGCTCCCCGTCGGCCTCGGGGGTCACCTCGCTGACCACCTTCACGGTGTCGGGATAGTTGTTCTCGCCGCCCCCCAGTTCCTGCGAGAAGCTGACCACGGTCTTGGGTTCGTAGTTCACCCCCAGGGCGCCGCTGGGATCGGGAGTGGGTATGCTGGGACCGTCGCTGCTCTGGCCATTGGTGTGCGAAATGGTGATGGCCTCCTCTTCCTTGTGGCCATTTGTGGCAGGGACAGGCTCCTCCGCCTGCTTAGCCTCCTCCTGCTGGCCATTTTGCACAGGGGCAGCTGGCTCCACCACCTCCACCTTGGCCTCCACTGGTGCGGGGGCAGGAGTAGGCTCCTCCTCCTCCACCTTTCTCTCTGCTGCCACTGGAACAGGCTCGGGTGCCTCCTCCTCCTCGCCAGCCACCGCCTGGTTGACCTGCTCAATGGCCTTGGCCTCCTCCTCGGCGCTCGAGTCCTCCGTGTGACCATTGCTGGTAACCTCTGTCTCGGTCTCAACGATCGGAGCAGATGTGACCACAGCGGCCACCTGGGGCTGTGCCGGAGGTGCCTCCACTGGCTCCACTGGCTCCTCCTCCACCTTCTCGGCCACCGGGGCGGGAATCTCGAGGGCGGGCACTATGGCCGGACTGGCCATGGTCTCCACGAACGAGGTGCGGTTGGGCGAGTCCGGCGAGATCATGACGTGCGTGAAGTAGCCGCTGCGCCGGCTCTCGAAGTCCAGCACGTTCTCCTTGGCCAGCCGCTCCTGGATGCGTCGCTGGCGCCTGATGAACTCCGGCACGTTCTCGTCCTCGCCCTCCGCGGCTGGGGGCGAATCCGCCAGCTTGGGGCGCCGCAGAACGACCTTGGCCGCCTCATTCTCCGCCTCCGAGGAGCCATTACCATTTCCGTTCGTGGCCCAAGTGGCCGCCGCATTCGAGGGCTTGAAGACGCCATTGAACTTGGTGCCGACTATGAACTTCTGGCTGTTCACCGCCGTGCTGGTGGCGCTCTTGTAGGCGTTGTAGTTGTTGTTGGCGGTGGGCTGGGCGGACAGTGGGTTCACGTCCCCGTTTCCGTTTCCGTTCTCATCGATCTTGGGCGAACGGGCGATGGTGAAGTTGGGCTTGCCGTGGCTGATCAGCAGCTTGGCGGCGGGCGAGGGACTCTTGTCCGGCAGCGGCGAGGGCAGTCCGCTGCGGATCTGTATGCTCGGCTTGTTGTTGATTGTCTCGGCCATTTCGGTCTGCCTTTGAATCTGGTCGCGATCGGGGCTTTTACTTTCCGTTTCCGTCGTTCACTCTAACGGTCGCTGCTTTTCGGGGTTAAAGAAAAGAAGACAAAGCAAATTAATAAAACATTCGAGATGGCAAAAATTAAATCACTCGCATTCAATCATGCAAATTTCCAGCCATAATCATTCAAAGTGAAAGAGGAGAAAAAACCGCCAGCTAATTGCAACAATTTTGTTTGATTAGCTGGAACTGACTGTAGATTAGTAGCGGAATAATATCTTATCACGGGGCCCTTAGCGATTTACTGCTAGAAAACTAAACTACTTGGGGTTTTAAGTTAGTTTATGAATGTTTTATTAGGTTTCACTCAGGGACTGCAAATAAGTGTTATGAGTTTAAAAAAATTGTTAGCCAAAATAGCGTCCAAAAAATATGGGAAAAAAACCACTTACTTAGTATGGTTCGGCAAATAGGAAAACGTGATAAACCTTTTTTTCAATTTTTATTTTATAAATTAAAAATAAGTCTTATTTTTCAATTTTTAAATTAAAAATTGAAAATAAGTCTTATTCTTCAATTTTTATTATAAAAATTAAAAATAAGTCTTATTTTCCAATTTTTATAATAAAAATTGAAAATAAGTCTTATTCTCCAATTTTTATTATATAAATTAAAAATAAGTCTTATTCTCCAATTTTTATTATATAAATTGAAAATAAGTCTTATTCTCCAATTTTTATTATAAAAATTGAAAATAAAAATTGAATGCAAATATCTTTTAAACCAATGGAATATGGGTCAAAATCTAAAAACAGGATTGATCTTCGAGTCAATACCTTTCATATGAGCTATGACATGACTATGTCCAAGGATATTTTAAGGACTTATAGCGCCTTTTAATGTTTTATATATGTAACTTCTATGTTCGGTGGAAGTACATGACGTCAAAAAAAACCATGTAGTACCAGAAAATCCAAATGATAAGAATAAATATCCCAGTCGAAATGCACCTGTCCATCTGTCTGATTTTGCATAAAGTAATTAAAAAATGAAAGTCGCGAATTTTCCAATTATTTATAAGTATATTTAGTTAAGTTAAGTTATGTATAATCCACTCAAATATATCCTCTTGTTCCTAAGAATTCGCGGTTTCTAAAGAATCGACATAGAATACATATTTAGGTATCTGAAGTAAAGTTATGTAGATACACAAAAATATATCCTCTTGTTCCTAAGAATTCGCGGTTTCTAAAGAATCGACATAGAATACATATTTAGGTATCTGAAGTAAAGTTATGTAAGATACACAAAAATATTTCCTCTTGTTCCTAAGAATTCGCGGTTTCTAAAGAATTGATCTCTTTAGTTAAACTGTGTATAATCCACTCAAGCTAATCCTAAAAATTCCCGGAATACATCTTTAGATCAATTTTTTAAAAACCGCGAATTCTTAGGAACAAGAGGAAATATTTTTGTGTATCTTACATAACTTTACTTCAGATACCTAAATATGTATTCTATGTCGATTCTTTAGAAACCGCGAATTCTTAGGAACAAGAGGATATATTTTTGTGTATCTACATAACTTTACTTCAGATACCTAAATATGTATTCTATGTCGATTCTTTAGAAACCGCGAATTCTTAGGAACAAGAGGATATATTTGAGTGGATTATACATAACTTAACTTAACTAAATATACTTATAAATAATTGGAAAATTCGCGACTTTCATTTTTTAATTACTTTATGCAAAATCAGACAGATGGACAGGTGCATTTCGACTGGGATATTTATTCTTATCATTTGGATTTTCTGGTACTACATGGTTTTTTTTGACGTCATGTACTTCCACCGAACATAGAAGTTACATATATAAAACATTAAAAGGCGCTATAAGTCCTTAAAATATCCTTGGACATAGTCATGTCATAGCTCATATGAAAGGTATTGACTCGAAGATCAATCCTGTTTTTAAATTTTGGCCCATATTCCATTGGTTTAAAAGATATTTGCATTCAATTTTTATTTTCAATTTTTATAATAAAAATTGGAGAATAAGACTTATTTTCAATTTATATAATAAAAATTGGAGAATAAGACTTATTTTTAATTCATATAATAAAAATTGGAGAATAAGACTTATTTTCAATTTTTATTATAAAAATTGGAAAATAAGACTTATTTTCAATTTATATAATAAAAATTTAAGAATAAGACTTATTTTCAATTTTTATTATAAAAATTGAAAATAAAACTTATTTTTCAATTTTTTCTATAAAAATCAACAAATAATTATTATTTTCCAATTTTTATTTTAAAAATCATAATAATTACGATCCCTGGTTTCACTGATAGGGAAGCAATGAGTCAGGGCTACGGAAATGCCTAAACCATTATTTAAAAAAAGTGATGAATAATGCATCCGCCGAATTAACTAAATAGCCCAAGTGTTTCTCCAGAACCCTATCAAAAATGTTTTTGAAAAACTCTCAAAAATATTTAGGCTTTATACTGTTCCTTATAAATCATATGCCAATCTGATTGATTGTGAGACTTCATTCTGCCAACTCACTTTCGTAACCAAACAGTTTGCAATCGTTTCACATGGCGTATGCGTAATTACGTAACTGCGGCCCGATGGCAGTGGCAGTGAGAATTCCAGGGTCAGCTACTGTCTACTATCGACTGGCCTATTGTAAGGCCCCAAAACAAATACCGGTTGATTGCTGATAGAGCTAAACTTGCTTAAATATCAATTAGATCGATGGCACACTCAAATACCCCCGAGTTTGTCCAAGTGAAATGGGGAACCTAATTGTCCGCCGGACAACAATCCGTTTTCCGATCCAGATCGATCAGGCCCATGTGACACCGTCAGCCCCGAAAACCCACCAGTTGACCAACGCACGTATGATGTTTGCGATCGAAACTGATAGGAATTCAGAGTACTGTGCGAATACTTTCATTGCCAGCCCATTTTCATTAGCATTTTCCGTCGCACTTCGAGGGGTAATTGAATTAAGCGCTGCAATTTATAGACCTGTGTGCACTGCAGGCACTCGTAATTCTAGACGCGTTCGATTGCCCCGAGAAAGGTCAGCTCTCAGTTTCGCTTTCTGATTACTCAGGGACGGTCGATTTACGATGGACACTTCTCCTTATTTACAAATGAAATCACCTATATCAAGCTAACCGATACCTTAAGACACTCGCTTTAGAGTTCCCATAACCTTAAGAGATTATTTCAAGATAATACTACTGAGTCACAAGGCAAATCTCTGGCTGATTTTATGATTGACACACTAACTTAATTATTCGTCGGTCAGGCTGGCAAACCGAACTGAAAGTGCGTCAAGCGGAGTTTATTACAATTTTTTCCCTAACCTGTTGCTGGAACCCCATGACCAACAATTAAACAATGTCTGGTACTGATAAAGCGAAACGAAAACGAATTTGTAGCCGATTCTCGGATATGCCGTGTGTTTCAACTCTGCCGCCTGGCTTAGCTGGCGAATGAACGTTTTTATGGGTCGGGGGAGTGTTAATTGCGCACAACTGGGATGAAACTCTGGCCAGAGATCGCTGGCACATAATTCCCAATGGCAATATTTTGTTTTCGCCTCTCTTTTTTGTTATTTGTATATTATTTTCCCACTCGGTTACCCGGCAATCGGCTTCGCGTTCGACCAATTGGCCTTGAAATAGCTGTTGTGTACAGCCGCATGAAGTGCAGTGCTGGCTATTTTCGTTACCAATTTGCATAAGGTGAACGAGAGTGAAACACCATTTTTGCATAATAAATTAATCATACTAGATTCTTTAATAAAAGGAATAAAAAAGACACAAAAATATACTTCGGAACGTAGAAGGCATAAGCCCATAAATTGTACAATAAATTGTGCAATATACATTTTGTATGATAGTATATAAAACTCATCTAATAATTTGTAAAATTTATTAGTAAGCGGTTCATTGTAATTTACCAATTTAAAGTTATACAATAAAGCTTACTATAAAAATCAACTAGGTAAATGTTGTATTTTTATGAAAGTATTTCAATTCTATAAGATATCTTTTGTTCATCTCATAAGAGCGAAAGCCACCACTGAGCAAGATATTAAAAAATTCCCGACAATACGGGGGAATGGCCACTTTCTTGGGCCCAAATTCTTTGCATCTTCGTATTCAGGGTGTGAATTGAGACGCTAAGATAAAACTTCAGCCCGCGGCCATAAAAGAGCGTTTGCCTTAGAAATTCGATTTGGCATCTCCCCCATCCGGAGTTGCGTGAGTTGGGTGCGTCTATCACTCGGCAGATCAAATTAGTTTCCCGAACCCTTTCAGTCGGCCCTATGGAGCGTATTGTGGTTGAATGCAGACTAACTCGGTCAGCACTGGCACTGTGTGAACTGAAAACGAGTACAACAATTGCAATCTGTTTACATCTCTTGGGAACTCGCTGTGGGTTCGGTTTGGCCAAGAGCTGCCACTCTGGGGCCCATAAATATCAGCCGAATGGGTGCCAAGTCAAAGCGGTAATCTTATCAAAGACATTGCCAAAATCGGGCTGATAAGCGGGCCAGCATAATCCGAGCCGATAAGGCTGCACTGGAAACCTGGGAACTTGAAACTGGGCACTGGAGTATTACCCAATCATGTGATTAACGGCCCTAGACAGCGCGAAAAGAAAGTGAAATCGGGTGGCTTGAAGAAAAGCATAAGCGGGAGCCCGAGTTCAAGGCACCTCGATGGATCTGCTCTGCAGCGAGAGTGTTTTGCCGCCTGGGCGCATAATTAGTTGTAAATATTTTTATACGTTTTATGGGATTTATGGTTATGAGCTGCCGAGAAAGCCCAACGTCGGGGAATGTGTCTCCTCAACTAGGGCCCCCTATATATACACAAGTATTATAGAACGTGTTTGAGATACGCGACAATTCGTTATAGATGGGCAATTTAACGGCCGCAAATGTCAAAGTCACGAACGCCCAGCGTAAGCGGCTTTTTCAGCGGCCAACGCGGCGTATGAGCGATCGTAAGGAGCTCAGACGATATTTACACGTTTGCAGTTTCTTTCTCCAAAATATTGGTATTACTCGGTATGGTTGTTATGTATTTTTTGGCACACACTAACACACTGGAGGGTCGGGAGATGTGGACGCACCTTTAATTGGAGGCTAACTGTCCGCTGCGTTACCGTAAAACGCCAAAACGTAACTGAAATCTAAAAACTGAAAACTGAACGAGCAACTTCGAACGCCTGGAGTCACATCGTCGTCGCTCGTCGGCGGTTATCGCTCTGCTCGTGCGCATATAGCTGGCACACATATAGCGGCCATATAGCTGGCAAAATAAATACGAATACCAAACACCAAATACCTGAAAGCTGTTGGCCACTGGCGCTTAATAGCCGTGGCCCAGAGAAAAGTGCCCTAGAGGCGCCCTGCGTGAAAGGTGCGCTCCGTAACATCCCCTTGGAAAAACCAGAAAAAGCAGGCTGATGTGTGTACATTACTTAATTGCTTGCAAATTATGCATCATCTGGACTGCGGAGCGTTTAGGCACCGGCACCCCAAAAGTGGACACTTCCGACGGGCGAAATTAAAGAAAATCCACCGAACTGGCATAAATTACCGCTGTAAATATTGACAAAGTTTACACGTGCCGCGGTCGCATGATCTGCTGATCATGAAAGTGCAGTAAGACCCGATTATCTGTTTATTTGCTCGGCAAATGGGAACAACTTGTCGTTGACTCACTATATTGTTTATTTGCTCAGCCCAATGGGTCAGCTTTGCGGGACAATTGCTTTAGACAGACACGTATTTACTTTGCGACAGTGGTTATTCAATGAGCCAAAGATTACTCGCGGCACAGCTTTATGACTACTGCAATTACGGCGTATTTATAGATCAGTTATTAGGGTTTCCGACCAAACAAGCCATTTCAAGTGGCGTACGTATTAATATTAATGGAAGAGCAGTCAAAGTTCAGAATCGTTGATAGAGTGCGATTAAAATATAATCTCTTCAGCGTACTATCATTACTAGATCACATTGTTTAACTGATGTCTTGAAATATATAGGGTGTTATAAAGTATGTCAATACAGATAAAATCCATATCATTTAGAATCTATATAGTTTTAATGAAAGTCAAATATGCCGAATATTATAGCGGGAATTTTCGGTCATGATAATTGTTTCATAAATCGATAAGGTTTGTCAATGTAGACAAAATCTATTTTTTTTGCAATCTTTATACATAGATTATAAACAAGCAAATATAGTAAAAATATTTATAACGGTTATTTCTATGAATAATGTTTGTTAATCAATAAGGAATCACTTATCTGAAATTTCATAATTTTAAATGACAATGACGTAAAAAATAAATGGCTTTTTTACTGTATCTTAAAAAAGAGCAAACACATGATCAAGTATTATTTGCCAACATATTTTTGGTACTAACAATTATTTATGTACATACGGTTTTCTGAACTAAACGTTTATGTAGAAGTAGAGCTCTTCGAAATAACAACCTTGTTCATTTCACACATTTTCTGAGCTTCCCGTATTGAAGTTCGCATAAACACTAGAGTTCCCGAAAAAAACCAACACACGAAGCCATATCGGTTTTGATAACCATTGCCAACACCGAAATTTTATGAGCTAGTGTTGTGTTTTCGTCGCTGTTTGATTATTTCGCAGATAGCGAGAGCCAAGTGTATTTGCTATTTACACGATTACGATTCTGTGGCTCAGACCGTTGGTGCTACGTACAATAATGCGAGGGCTTCCGCGCAAAGTCGACCGATTTCCCCCGGTGGCCGTGAAAATCTCGGGGGTGTGGCGGCGGGATGTGGCAGAGTGGATTCGACTCGAGTGGAGTGGGAAAAGCTGTTTAACTTGTGCCCGCGGGGAGTGGCCTGGCCCCAAAACGGAATGAATGCCCCATATACATGCTGCCCGGTCATCATAAAGCCTGGAAAACTGGTAACTCGGCAGAGAGAAAAAATACAGCAGATATAGGTCATCGATTCGGGAATTTTTCACACAAATGTGACTCCTAAAACTCCGTAGGTAATGGGAGTATCTAACCACTTGTTTACTCATTTAACCAATTAATATTTTATATCGGGGCAAGCTAAATTTAATTTAGTAATGAAAACTAGGAGCAACTTGATAATCCCCAAATAAGTCAAAGATGCATCAAGGTTACAATCTTATTAAAGTAACATTTTATATATCTTAGATACGATTATTCTGTCTAATAATTAAGTCAATTAATTACTTAATCAATCTTTTTATAATGTTGAACAAAAAAGCGATACAGTTTTTACAAGTTAAAAATAAGCTAACCTTTACTAAAACGAGTGGCAGCACAAATATATAGGACAAATATAGCACAAATATAAGTTCTTAAAAAAAATGGAAATATAAATACTATACTCCCTTGATCAATTAATAAAATCGATATATTTTTGTAACTGTGCGCCGACCTGTTTTCGCCTAGCGGATGAAGCCAGTTTCGGCCAATGGTGGTGGTCGACCGATGTGCTAATTACTGGGACACCAGAATTCAGAACTCAACAATTCCAGAATTCCTGAACTCCATTTCTAGCCATACATATCTCCACTGCCAGCTCCCCAGACGATGTTTGCACATCATTACAATTACGCCGCCGAGTGCTTTATTTTAATGATCTATTTGCGAGCGCGGTTGAATAACACGCTAATTGACACACAACACAAACGGACGTGCACTTGAGCCGGAGTCGCAGTCAAAGTCGGATTCCGATTGGATTCGTATTGGGACTGGCAACCAGCAACCTTGACAAAGAAAATTTCCAATTAACGGCGCTTGCCAATTTGCGTACACTGCGCGAAAAGGATACATGCAAAAAGTGGCACACGCAGTTCGTTAAGAACTTATTAATTTTTAGCAATTATGCCATAATGGCGGTAGTTAACAAATTGGGTCGCTATTTCTCCGGAGAAAGAACCCGAATTCTGGCCACTGTGTGATCGAGGGGCTAATCGCAAATGGCAAAAACGGCAACTAAAATGGATGAAGAAAACACATTGATTGGCTTGATTATGCACAATAAATAAGAGTCGGTGACTTGTTCACTTTTGTCAGCTTTCCATTCGTTTATGGTAAATTGCTGGGCGCTGCTGCCAATTAAAATAGAAATTGTTGACCAGCCCAGCCGAAAAGTCTGTCGTTTGCTTTGCATAAAAATTAAAACTTGAACACACAAACGAAACATACGAATTGTTATTGTTGCCTTGTTGTTGCTGTTGCTGTTGATGTTGCTGCGGCTGCACGCGGTGTAAAACTTTCGAATCTGGTGGCTTTGGATCGGATCAGATTGGATCGGATCGGAAACGTTTGGATAGCGCAAAAACGTGTTTTCAACTGAGCCCAAGATCGCGACTACAGCAACAGCAACACTCAAAGCAGCAGCAGCAACAGCAAAAACAACACCCAGAGCAGCAACAATGCCAGTTTTAATGAATGAAAGCGTAATCTTTTTACCCGCTTTGTCAGCCAAAAATGTGCACTTTTTTAGGATCGCCACAATGCCTTTGAGTTTGCAAACAAAAGACAAGCAAAACAAAAGCCTAAACAGGTAAACCTTTTTATTCAAGCTAAATTTGAATTCGATAATGTGCACCAATCGATAAGTTTCGGTCATTTTCAGCACTGGTTTTTAAAATGTATCGATAGCCGAACGATATCGATTATCAAAGTTACAAGATTAAGATTTTAAAAATATTAAAAAAGATTTCTAAAACAATAAATGTAGACTCAACGGACATGCCCCCACAACTTGCAAATGGCCAGCAATACCTGGAAAGTGCCCGTGTTTATATGAGGAGAGACTCCTCCATTCTGATTAAGTGCTGCCTCTGCAATGCGGACACTTTTCCCGGTGCTAGGTGGAATGATTTTTTGAGACACCTGGTTGAAGACCATGAAGAACTCCGCCAGTTCAACGGAGATGATAATGAGATTCAGGACGAGGTCCGGGCGGAGTTGTGCAACCTGCAGGAGGCGGGTGTTGCTCAAGAATCTCAGTTGCCAGTAGAGCAGGAGCCAGAATTATTTACGAACGTGGAGTACCTTGAGGAGGAGGTGGAATCCGGAGATACTCCTGTGCTCATCGGAGGAAGAACAGGATGAGGAAGAGTCTGGAAAGGTAACGCTCTTAGTCCCTAACAAAAACACCTTTTTTTAATTTAACCTTCCTCAGGACTACATCCTCAATAAACCAAACAAGCCCTTCTACAGTCTGCAGCGCACCAGACCCGGAATCATCCAGTATTTCATAGAACTCTTGCGCCAGCACGAGCATCTGTGGAGCAGCCACCGTGGGATCAAAAGAAAGGATCGCTTGGAGAGCTCTCAGAAGGTGGCACAGGCACTGTCCCATCGGTTCCGGTGCCGCTTGGAACCGCAGGTGGTGAGTGCCAGTGCCCGTTTCCTGCAAGTCTGGTTCGAACGGCAGTACGTGATGCAATTGAGCAACTCCGGCTTCCGGTGCCGCTACCCAAACTACTTCCGCAGCCTCCTGAGATTCATGCCCACGAGCCACATCTCGGTGACCATTTGCGAGGAGTGCGACCGGCGTTGCCTCAACGAGCGCCAGTTGAGGCTGCACAAGTTCCGCGTGCACGGCGGACCCAATCCGAATACCTGCCATGTGTGCCACCAGGGCTTCTCGCTCGCCTGCAAGCTGCAGCAGCACAAGGAGCGGTACCACTTCAAGCCGCTGGAATGGCAGTGCGGCAGCTGCGACTACAACGCCCCCTCCAAGTGGGACTTTCAGCAGCACCAGGCCATGCACGCCGGGCAGAGGAACTACACCTGCGAGGTGTGCGGGCACAGCTGCAAGACCAGCTCCGCCTTGGCAGTCCACCGGCGCAGGCACGACCAGCCGAGATTGCAGTGTCCCCACTGCAGCCGGCAATTCAGAGAGAACTACATCTTAAAGTGCCATATTCGGAAATTCCACGAGGGCGATAGTGGGCGGAAGTTCTCCTGCGACACTTGCTTGCGGAGATTCAAGACGAAGGAGATGCTGGAGGTGCATGAGCTGGTTCACTCACAGAGGTTAGAAGCAGAAGCCCTTTAGTTAGGTACTTTTTAGAGTATTTTTAATGTATTATTTTACAAAATGAATCTTAGTCGGTAAGAGTTAATAGTAAATTAATCTACACAGTTCAACTTATATAAATAATATATATTATATTAATTTGAATGAGAGGCCCAGCTACACATTACTTTGCTTAGCTATTAAGCTAACTAGAACCACATTTTCGCCGCGAATCAAGATCTGTGGTAGATCTCGCTTTATCTCCACGTTCTTCCGGCTTAAACTCTTCACCTGAATCTCAGGAAGCGTGATGCCCAGCTCCCTGAGACGATCGGTGCAGTCAACAGGTGTGTCGCAAATGTTCTGTTCGCCGTAATTGTACTTTCGGCGCCTCCAGGTTTCGGTGGCTTTTCGCAGGAGCAGATTCCACGCCTTGTCAAAGGCCACAAGCTCGCCCTCCACAGTGCCGCCCACTGCTCCTTTCTTGCGGATCACCACCCGAACTCGTAGTCTTTCGGTAGTTTCAGTGCTGCTGGCCAACGGAATGCACTTTTTGAGGAGTTCTAGGGGTCCGACCGTTCCCTCCATGTAGGTGAAAATGTTGCGAAAGTGCTTCTTATTCGAGCTCCTGGTCGTGGGCATCTGGTGGGGCTCGAACCGCCGCTGAGGTGCCTCCAGGTCAACTGCAGCCCTGGAAGAAGAGGCTTTTCCTGATGCCCCCTTATCGACGCCTCCAGCTCCCGGTTTTTGCCGCTTGTTTAACTGCCAAATGCCGAACTTTTTAAGCGCGCTCTCGAACGCCGCCAGATTTTGGTAGAGCACCTTAGGAACCGCTTCGGTTACCCTGTAATTGGGTTCGTACAAAGCTCGGAGGGGATTAAACTGCTCGCTGCATACATCCAATTCGGGATTTTGGGAGGCGTCATTGTCCTTCGATTCCTTGTCACTCATTATGGATCTTTGGAAGTCTCTTAAAATTACAGATATTTTGTAAACAAATCCGCCGGCTATGGCTATTTATGTATATGTGCTCGATAACAGCTATCGATTAACCTGGAGGGACTGGAGACAACAGGGATGGTATTTTAAACTTAATAAAAATAAGAAATCCATAAAAATAGGTTTAATGGGGTTCTTAAAATCCCATAATTAAAAAACAAACCGCTTTATTATTCTTATCATCAGCTATTGTTATTTCTAGGTTTTTCTAATTTAATTACAAGTGTAAAATGATCGTACTTATTGTCCAGCCTTGGAAATATGTATGCTTTCGTCCAATGAACCTAATCAGTGGAGCTTTTAACGCGGAGAAAGCAACAGGTTAGTGTAAGATCGAAAGTAATCAAAGATGGCAAGTGAGTAAAAAGAACGGGTTAAATACAACATTTTCTGGTAACTTGGGTTATCCTGCAGCCGTTGGAAGTAACTCTACCTTTGACCTCAGTCCCAAGACCCTGGTGGGCGTGGGCGTGGGCCTGGTGGCGGTGGGCGGGGCCAGTTACCTACTGTACCGCCACCTGACCCGCGATGTGATGCCCCAAAAGTGGAGACGCGTGGGCACCGTGGAGAGGATCCACTTCTTCCCGGTCAAATCCTGTGCTCCTCTGGAGATCTCGAAACCTGGAGTGGAGTTTGAATGCGATGTGCTGAGCATGTCCTTTGAGGGAATAAGGGATCGCACCTTGATGGTGGTCAACGACAAGAACGAAATGGTAACAGCTCGGGTGTATCCCCACATGACCCAGATCCACTCGAAGAAGGTATCGCCTAGCAAGCTGCTCTTCAGCGCCCAGGACCTCCCCGACCTGGAGTTGGATTTTGAAAGCCTGGAGGGCCCCGGAAAGGATGAGCGCACGTCCGTTTGGGGCGTTCCTGTGGACGTGATGCCCTGCGGAGATCGGATCAACAGGTGGTTCTCCCAGGCCATCCTGAAGAAGGAGAGCGGCCTTAAGGTGGTTCACTACCCGTATCCGAAGCCAGTGATGAGCATCAATCCGCGCCTCAAGAAGATGCCCTTCATCAGACAGGAGGATTCGGTGGGTAGCTGCCTCAACCTTCGAAATTATTCAAGGATAAAGATAACCTTTCCTCCACAGGGAACCTTCAATGATGCCACCAGTTTTATGCTGATGAACCTTTCATCGGTGGCCGATCTTAATACTCGACTAAAAAATCCCGTGGATGCGCTTCAGTTCCGCGGTAACTTCGAGCTGAAAATGGATGTGGATGAGCCCTATGCCGAGGACCACTGGCAATGGCTACGTATAGGCGATGATGCAGTATTCCGAACGGTGGCTCCTTGCACGCGCTGCATCTTTCCGAACATAAATGTGAAGACGGCTGAGAGGGACCCTGACGGGGAGCCATTCAAGACGCTGAGAAGGTGGGTCATTTTTTTTTCCATATCTGTACAACTATAATACTGCGATTCTTCATCTGTGATCTCGATCTCCTCAGCTACCGGTTGTTCAACTACAGCTCACCGGCCCTGGGCATTCATTTGGGACTTCGCCTTCCGGGAAAGGTCAAGGCCAACGATGTGGTGTACGTGGAGGACAAGTGAAGTCTCCAACGGCTCTTCCAATATCTAAACTTGTTTACATTCACATATACCTATTACATAGAACATAAATGTTTTGGAAACCAATACGCCGTTTAAACTACAAACATACAAATGCGTCCGATAACAGTTATCGATTAACCTGGAGGGATGGTAATTTAAAACTAAAAAACAACAAATCCATATAAAAACTAGTTTAATGGTGTTCATATAGCACTATAATTAAAAAACAATCCGTGTTACTTTCCTTACCATGCATTTTTTTTCTAGCTTTTAATAATTCAATTAAAAGTGTAAAATGACCGTATATAGATAGTGTCCAGCCTTGGAAAGATGCTTTCGTCCAATAAACCTAATCAGTGGAGCTTTTAACGCACAGAAAGCAACAGGTGCAGTGTAAGATCGCAAGTTATCAAAGATGGCAAGTGAGTGAAAAAAACGGGATTACTTAGCAGATCATCTAGTAACTTGGGTTATCCTGTAGCCATTGGAAGTAACACGACCTTTGACCTCAGTCCCAAGACCCTGGTGGGCGTGGGCGTGGGCCTGGTGGCGGTGGGCGGGGCCAGTTACCTACTGTACCGCCACCTGACCCGCGATGTGATGCCCCAAAAGTGGAGACGCGTGGGCACCGTGGAGAGGATCCACTTCTTCCCGGTCAAATCCTGTGCTGCTTTGGAGATCTCGAAACCTGGAGTGGAGTTCGACTGCGATGTGCTGTGCATGTCCTTTGAGGGAATAAGGGATCGCACCTTGATGGTGGTCAACGACAAGAACGAAATGATCACGGCTCGGACATATCCCCACATGACCCAGATTCAATCAAAGAAGGTATCGCCTAGCAAGCTGCTTTTCAGTGCCCAGGACCTTCCCGACCTGGAGTTGGATTTTGAAAGCTTGGAGGGCCCTGGAAAGGATGTGCGCACGTCCATTTGGGGTGTTCCCGTAAACGTGATGCCCTGCGGAGATCGGATCAACAGATGGTTCTCACAGGCCATCCTGAAGAAGGAGAACGGCCTCAAGCTGGTTCACTACCCATATCCAAAGCCAGTAAGGAGAACCGTTCCCGATCTCAAGGACATGCCCTTCCTAAGACAGGAGGATTCGGTGGGTATATGCCTTATAAATTTAACACCACGTTAAATATCACCTATAAATTGGGGCGGTCCTTTCTACAGGGAACTTTTAATGATGCCACCAGTTTTATGCTGATGAACCTTTCATCGGTGGCTGATCTTAACACTCGGCTAAAAAATCCGGTGGATGCGGCTCAGTTCCGCGGTAACTTCGATCTGAAAATGGATGTGGATGAGCCCTATGCCGAGGACAACTGGCAATGGATACGCATAGGCGAAGATGCCGTATTCCGAACGGTGGCTCCTTGCACGCGCTGCATTCTTCCGAACATAAATGTGAGGACAGGTGAGAGGGACTCTGACGGTGAGCCTCTCAAGACGCTGAAAAGGTAAGTAATTTTCTAACGCCAGATCCGTCTAACTATAATTATTGCGATTCTTGATCCATGGACTCCTAGCTACCGCTTGTTCAACAAAAAATCACCAGCCATGGGCATTCATTTGGGACTTCGGCTGCCGGGAAAGGTCAAGGCCAACGATGTGGTGTACGTGGAGGACAAGTGAACACTCCGGTGGCTCTTTCAGCATTTAATCCTGTTTACATTCACATTTATTACGTAGAACATAGATAATGAGAGTACCGTAGAGTTTTTATATGCAAATATACATGTGTTATGAGCCTATAACAATATAAACAACTTTAAAGCGCATCCTAGACGCAGGACTGCCAGGCGAGGCCACCGCAGGCCATGCTGACGATCACGTAGACAATGAAGGTTATCACCAGGCCGACCACCACGTAGATGCGGATGTTCTTCCAGAACATTTGCCGCGCCAAATTTCGCGAGGCCTTGCGGAATGCAACGGACTGTAAAAGAGGCAGAGGTAAGAACATTTCCCAGCCCAACTGGTGTCATCTTACATTATTGCTCAAGTTTTCGGTCTTGTTGACCAGCAGTTCCAGTTTCTCGCCGCGATCTCGCAGACTGTCTGCAGGTGGGACAATCAGGGATTAGTGATAAAATGAGGAGATCCGGTTTCTAACTCACCTATATTCTTAACCATTATGTCTTTTAGCTCGTCTATCTGTCCATGCACCCGAGAAATGGTGTCCACCTCGCGGGACTGACTGAAGTAGACCATCTGGTCGGCCAGGATCTTGGAGAACTCGGTGTTCATGGAGTAGGCGATGGCGGTGGCCACCTGCAGGCCGTAGGTCTGGATGAACTTCTGCTTGACATCGGCCAAGAAGAGAAAGGCCCGGGAACGCTCGAACTCCTACGAAGAAACGAGATATGCGATATCGATTAAGCAATGGGTAACTGGGACAGAGGTTCGTTCACCCACGTTGTCGGTGATGCACATGTAGACCAGCTTGTTCTCGCAGGTGTAGTGGATCAGGTAGTCGCCGTGTGTGTAGGTCATCTTGTGGTTGTGCACCCCGATCCGGCCGATTATGTGCTCCGTCACTTCGGCAAAGTTGCCGACGCACTCCGCGTACTTGGCCAGCACGGTGGTGCCGCGCGATATAACGCTGTATAGTATCGGCATGGTTCCCCTGATTCTTCGTCTTCGTTAAGGGTGCGGTTCTTCAGTTCCGTTCCTCAGGCGGCTTTGTTTAGCTTATCGGGAAATCAACGACGAACCGTCGCCGATGATGACGTGCCCTCGGAGTCTGTGGAATCCGAAAGGCGTAGATTTAGTAACTAATACTATCTGATCTGGGGCTCTGTCAATCTCAACAATGAGTGGTATTCATGAGTAATACGAAATATATGTAATGAAATATTTAAACACCTACTTGCTTTGTTTATCCAATTAAGTTTCAAGTTGGTAAGGATACTTCACATTTACATTTTGTGGTCAGCGGCACTGGTCGATATTGATTTTCAATTATTAGTACCGCACAATTAAATACATCACGGATCAGCGGAATTATTTCGATTTTTGCATTATAATAACAATTGCTGACGCTCGGCTCGATGCAGTTATACAAATCAGAGGTGGCACTATCGATGCATCGATGTTTGTAATTTTACTCTTATCGCATACGGTTACACTGAACAACGGGTTTCAGGAATACAGTTCTGCGGTCTTACTATTATTTGATTTTGAATAATATATTTTATGACCTTATGGGATTGAAATAGGGACATCCCACCCACAGACTGGCAGTATGGATCAGAGCATTAGATCACCCAGTTGAGCTTAAAGTCCCGGAATAAAGAAAATTATTTTGAAGCCTTCGCAAATATTTCGCAGTTAAATAACAGGAAAATCATTGTGAAGTTCTTAAACAGACAGTTTAGATTCGTACTTCTGAACACCAAAAGGTAAATAATTTTACTTGCAGTTAAGTATACAAAGTCAGATTTATCTGCTAATATATGGTGCTGCCGAATTAATTGATTTCAAACAATGCTCGAGTAGATCAGTGTTGTCAATTTGTCACTCTTCCGGACCGGTCTTACCCTCTTTTAACGTCTTTGTCATTTTTCGAAAAGATCGACATGTACGAAATTTTGCTAATCGTCTTTGTATCAACCACTTCTTAAATGCAAAAAAAACTTTTTAACCATCTGCAACCAATGGGATGCATTGACTTAAAAATAAACCAAAACATTTACAAAATTTTAAATTAAAATGAACATAATATTAATCGAAAATCAATTAAGGGAATTAAAATGCATTTCCCATTAAAATAATAGGACTGCGATTATTAAGTATACGCATAAGGAAATAAAAAGCTAATATTACATAATTACATAATTTAATTAGATATTCACTACATTTAAATTAGGTATACAATTGCGAAAGTTAATTTGTCCTCTTTTTTCCTTTTTTCCCGCTTTTACTTAGCTTGCTGGTCCTGTTTTTAAGCTGTCTGCTGGCAGCACTAACGTAGATATAGTTAAAAAAAAAACAGCACTAATGTAGATAAAACTTAAAAATACGCAAATGTTAAACATTCATAAAAGCATTACAACCTTTTTATTTATTTTTGTCATTCATAGATTACATTTATTGACAATTCTAAGTTGAGCGCGTGACACGATGTAAGTTTTTCAAATGTATTTCTTATACAAAATTGTATTTCTCGGAAAATTCAAATAAAATTGCATAAAGGTCAAAACAATTTTTTTTTAAGTTCCCCTAATCCACATACGTTATTAAAAACAACAAACGAGTCTTTATTGGACTTATTTTTAAAAACATTATATTTGCGCGCACATCTGTAAAAGGGATAAATAAACACAGAAAACCAAAACAAATAAACAGAACAATGTAGCTCTTTGATTACGCAAATAAAAAGTTGCACTCAAGAATGCTTAATCTACTCATACACTCAAAGTATTCAAATAAATATTCAGATCATGTACATATGTATGTATATATCCAAAGGCAGCGAAGCTACAATCAGTTATAAAGAATCTCTGCTTTCATATACATTTTAGTATAGTATGGCTTTTATTTTGTTGAAATTCAATGCTCAGACGGCGTTTGAGGCTCTGAACCGGTAAAAGCCATTTCAAAAGTGACTTCTTAGGATATTGAGCTGTTTTTCCTGCCTTCTTTTACGAAATCATTTAGGGCGTTGAGGGCATTTATTCAAATTAAGAGACTTAAAGTAAATATACACCATTTAATTAATTTCTAGTCACCGATACAACGGTTCGAGTGAAACTTTTACATTTTCACTGCTCTTTGGCATGAACCATTTCAATTTTATAGAGTCTTTGTATGCAAGTTTAGTAATTTGTTTTTCAAATTCAAATTCTTATCAAGCTTTCGCGAAATCTTCTCATCGATCTGGCAACCCACCCACCATATGTTCGGAGAAATGGCCATTGCAAAGAACGCGGAAGAAGCGGAGAACGCAGTACGCGCGGAGAAGGGCAGGAAATGTTTTTATTTGAAGAAAATGATCGGAGATTACATAGGTGAGTGTCGACTGATTAGGCGCCATAAACTGAGTTGTTGTGATTCATTTCAGACACCTCGGTTCGCGTTGTGGCCACCGTCTTTCTGGCCGACTTCCTGCAGCGTCTGTATCGCTGTGTCGTCGAATATGTCCGATATAGCCGGCATTATCTGCCCGAGGACCGGGTGTGGACAATCCTCCGGCGCTCCTGCACATACAGCAACAAGTCAGCTTACCTGCTCTTGGGTTTCGTTCTCGTGGGACTTACCCGAATTTCGATTAGCGGAAATTTTAGGAGCGTAGTGCCCACTGCCCTGTTTCTGGCCCACATGCCGCTGTACTGGATCTTCAGCGATCTGAGTCAGAGCACGCTGAGCTACTCCCACTGGATAAGGGAAAACCATGGACTGGACTACGCGGCCGGAATGGCCTCCAACTACTTCCACGGCTACCTCAAACTTTCTCTTCCCGAGCGCAAGGACGATGGCCTCAAAAAACGAATGGATGACTATGAGGTAAGTTAATCCCAATTTCTGTGCTGAGAAATAATCAATATCTTGTTCCCTAGGACAAGAACCAAGTCACCTTCGGAATAAACCGACTGGTTATCCTTATTCCGGACGAAATGTTTGTAAACGGGGTTCTCGAAAGCGATTTACTGGATAAAGCTGAGGTAAGAACTCACAAATCCTGCCTAATGTATATGTGTACCAAAGGTCTAGTCTTTTCTTTAGCCCCTTGAGACGAAGTACATCAACCGAGCCGGCGTTAATCGTCCTTTTAAGCACGCTGTCTACAGAATGAATCAAAAGGTTAATGGCAAAACCTACTACTTTGCCATCGAGGGAGCTACGCCCATGCTCTCCTTCTTCGATGCCATGCAGTCGAACCTGTCGGCCACCTGGCAGATGAAGGAACTGAAGCGGGAGATCTGGCTCAAGTTCTACAAACATTTGAAGGAACTTATCACCACGTGGCCAGAGACCCGTAACTTGGTGGAGTTGATGATCTATAGCTGTAGGTTGAAATCTCTGCATAAACAGAAATAGATTAACCGCTGTGCTAGAAACAAACTGAGCTAAACACTTAGATTAACGATCTTTTCTTCCAGCCCACGATTCTAACGGAAATCTCGTAGATGTTGGCGAATTGCTTAAAATTCATATGCAAAATAAAACGAGAACTATTGACGAAATTTCCGACTAGAGTTCCAAAGAAATCTGCGATTTTATTGATGTCTACAGGAGGAATATAAGGTCTAGAAAGCTATAAATTAGAATCACTTGTTCGACATCAAAAACCATGAAAATTTTAATTTTTAATTCATTTTTGTACTTTTATACGGATGTACCAGCTAATGACAATGTTGAATGTAATAAATATATACATTTTACTAACATTTAAAACCAGAAAATTACGAGAAAATGGCTAAAAGGGATGCAAAGTACAAGTTTCTGCCGATAGTGGTCAAGTGGCATGCAAACTAAAACATAATTTGAATATTTAAAGTTGATTGAATAATGAACTTCCATCCATCCTTGATAAGAAATCGGGTTATCGTCAAATCTTCAAATTGATCTGGCAACCCAGATTGCACATGTTCTAGAAAATGCTTTATTTCGAACAAAAGATGATTGAGGAGTACGTAGGTGAGTAAGCTGCGCCCTTGACTGATAAGAATATAGACTAAATCATTAATTGCAGTCAACTCGATTCGGATTGTGGCCACCGTGTTTCTGGCCGAATTCCTGTTGCGTTTTTATCTCTGTGTCGTCGAATATCTCTACTATAGTCGGTATTATCAGCCCGAGAATAGAGTGACAACGATCCTCCGACGCGCGTATTCCTTAAACAATGTCTCGAAACATCTGCTGCTGGCTTTCTTAGTCTTGGGAATAGGAATTTCGATTTCTGACAATTCTTGCGCGGTATTTCCTACAGTCGACTTCCTCTCGCAAATTCCTCTGTACTGGGGCCTACGAACTATACATCGGAGCACGCTTACCGATCTTCACAGGCTAAGGGATCCGCATGGACTGGATTACCCCACTGGAATGGCCTCGAGCTTGTTCTATGGGTGCCTCATACATTCGCTGCCCGGGCTTAAAAATCGAATGACTGTCTACGAGGTATGTATGTATGTATGTCCATTAGGGCGGTCCACATTTGTATGGAAATTTGTAAGGTCCTAATCTCACCCGCCTTTACGGTGCGCATTGTGTTATTCAAGATATACCAAAAGAAAGTTTTTGAAAAAATCGTGTTTTAGGTTCTGCGAATTGGCTTCAAAGTTTATCACCCATACGCACTGTTGCCTTCGATCAAAAAGTTTTTTTTAATCAAGGTGGCATAGATTTCAATAATTCAGTTGATGTTTTGCTATCCCTTTTTTACAAATTATTTCAACAAAATTCATAATTTGACAAGACAAGAAATGGGAGAACGATTTTTTTCGACCAAATTCGAACTGTTATACGTGTCGTATGAGTAATTTTTAAGCAAACTTTGAAGACGTTTCGCAAAGTCTAAATCTACATACATTTTTTGTTTTCTTTAATATACCATGTAAAGAAGTGAGAATAGAATTTCATTGCACTTAAGTTGATCGTTAGACCCAGGGGAAAATTAATCACGTATTCCAAAGGACCAGAACAACATCACTTTTGGATTGAACCGCCTGATTATCCTTATTCCTGACGAAAAGCCGGATGATGGCGTACTCGAAAGAGATTTTGACGAGCAAGCTACGGTAAGACAATAAGAAACTCATATTTATTTTATAAACACAACTCTATTTTTAGCCCTTAAAGACAATTGTTGAACGAGCAGGAGTAGATCGCACCTTTCAGCACTCTGTTTACAGGATGAATCGCAGGATTAACGATAAGATATACTACTTCGCCCTCGAGCTCCCCGCCCCCATGTTTTCCTTTTCCGATGCCATGCAATCCAGCACGTCGGGCACTTGGCAAATGAAGCAGTTTAAGCGGGAGATCTGGATGAGGTTCCATGAGCACTTAGATGAGCTTATTAAAAGTTGTCCACAGACCCGTAACAAAGTGGATCTCATTATCTACAAATGTAGCGTAAAGCTGACTGTTATCAATCTTGTTTGCTAACGATAATTTTATTTTCAGCTTGCGATGTCGAGGGTAATCCTGTTGATATTAGCGAGTTGCTCATATCGCACATGAAGAAAACAACTAAATTATTCAAGAATTGACCTACTAACCATTCCAGGAGGCCAACAGGAGAAATACTTAATAATCTCTCAATTAAGACTCTCTAAATGGATGCCAATTTTAGTTTCTAATGTGTTTTCTTACAGTTTGAACTACAACTAATGATAATGTTGAGTGTAATAAATAGATGCTACTAGCTGAAAAAACTGGATCCTACAGGGACATGGTTGTAATACATAAAAAAGATATTTCTAAGCCTCCAGAAGCTGATTATCCGTATGGGATTCGGAAGCCTCCAATTCCTCTAGCTTGGCCTGTGCTGCGGCCAGCATTCGCGCCTTCCATATCTCGTAGTCCTCCGTCTGGGGCTTCATTGCCTTTTTGCCCTCCTGGCCCTTGATATTCTCCTGCTGGCTTTCTTTGAGTTTCCCGTCCAAGTCGGAGCAGGCCGGTACCTTGCCCTCCTTGTGGTGCTTGGCTATCATGAGAGACCACTGCTGCTCGAGCTGTTGAAACTGGGTGGGACGTAGGTTGCTGAAGGGCATGAGCTTGGACTTGGAGACCTTCTTCTTGAGCAGCCGGCAGGCCTGGTAAACGGCCATGGCGGCATACTGCGGGTGCGTGGTGTCGGTGCCTGTGTCCTCGGTGGCCGCCACGCCCTTGAAGAGGGTCATCAGCTCCTCCGCCTTGCGCGCCACCTCGTTGAGGCCCAGCTGCACACAAATGTCGTTCACGCTGGCCAGCTTGTTCAGGTCCAGGAGCTTCTCGAACATCCGCTTGTTGTTGAGGTAGTGGCTCTTGCGCAAGCCGGACAACTTGAGGGCCTGCTCCTTGTCGAAGCCGATGCCCAGCAGACAGGAGGCGAGGTCCGCGCACAGGACTATCTTGCCGTACTCGTTGATCTGCAGTGGGACGTTCGTGGAGCGCAGCTCCAGTAGTCGCACCAATTCGGTGGTCTTCCTGGAAAGGATTCGTCTTTAGTAGGTCACTTCACATATACCACATTCGAACTCACTCCATCACGTTGGGCTCCTCCCGCAGGCCCATTTTCGTTATCAACTGCTCTATTAATGTAGTCATTGCTCCTACAAATCCTAGTCTCAATTTCAAGTCGGGTGTCGTTAAATCACAAAAACAAGAATAAATGGCGCGAACTGCGTCAGCTGTGAGCGATAAGCCATTTTGATTTTAGTCGAGTTGTCATCGATAGATGGTCTTGAACTAGTTCCGATAACACTGATTTTTAAATATTTAAAGTGCAAAATATAGTTCAAATTTATCTTTCTAGATTTGAATAGTCAAATATGTAGACTCCACTATAATTTCTAGCCCCCAAAACGAAAATAAAAGTCGGTGCTTCACCCGATTTTTGTTTATACATTTTGCGCTTTAGGGAAATATAAAATTAACGTTATGTATTTAGGCCCAGAATTAGATTCACTGCCAAAAACGATCTAATGCGTCTCATTGTCGCTGTCATCCTCCTTGTTGGCGGCATCTCCGGCATTCCGCGCCTTCTCGGTCAGTTCTGGGGGATTGATGAGATGCAGACCATCGGTCACTCTGCCAACCAAGCCCATTTCAAAGCGGAAGTCCTTGTCCTTGAGCTCATCGTGGACCTTGTAGATGCTGGAAAAGTGGTTAAACATGGTCATTAATATTTAATCCGCTAGAAATCTGATATTATAATATGATATTATTACATTTCTCCGGCGCTCTTGACCAGATCGTCGATCTTCATGTCCGGCTTCAGCTTCTCCATCTCGGTCTTGGCCAGCTGCTTAGCCTTGCCGCTGGCACAGGCGAAGTAGCCGAAGGAGGAGCCCGAGGGCTCGATCTTGTAGAGCTGTGGGCCGTCCACCTCGTCCCAGGAGGCGAAGATGATCGACAGCCCAAAGGGGCGGACGGCGCTGTACAGGGTGTAGGCGTGGACGTAGCCGGCGACGCGGTCGCACAGGTGCTTCAGCGGGATGGCTTGCTCGAACTGCTGCCTGTAGTTGGCTGCCTCCTGGCGGGCGATGTCCGCCACATAGTTTCCGTCGGCCACCAATCCGGCCACCGCCATTCCGATGTTCTTCTCGATGGTGAAGATGCGCCCGCCGGCATCCGGTTCGTACAGCTTGCTGGTGATGATCTTCTCCACGGCGAGGACCACTGCGTCCTTGCCCCGGATCCCGACCACGGTGCCGCTCTTCTCCACAGCCTTCGAGGCGTAGTCGATCTGGAAAACGCGGCCATCCGGCGAAAACTGCGAGGCCGACAGGTCGTACTGCAACCGAGAAGGCCTCGTTAGCGATCTTGCGATCGGGGATACGGGTCACCAACTACTTACTCCGGTGCCAATAGTACTCATTTCGAGGATCTGATGGGAATTTAAACTGTTCGAACGCAAAAACTAGTTTAATATGTTGGGTCAAATGCGACGATGATTTGACGGCTTTTGCTTGGCCAGTGATGGAAAAAACAATGGCGCCTATCGATTTCCCGGGTTTCGATATTCTCTTATCGTAAGTCGTGTTGAAATACATAACTATCGCACTGGATAAAAATGTTAAGGGTATTCAATTGCGCTGAATTTCGGTCAGCTTTTAAATACAATTTTATTTTCAGAAATTAAAGCAATTCAACAACCTTGATTTAGTCATGTTATTTTAATACAAAATTACGACATCTCTGGAAATTTGTAGTATTACAGAATGCATTATTTACTTTAAAACAGCGGTCTGCAGCGTCCTATTAAGTGAGCAAAGGGAATTGTTCTGCTCATCATCTGCCGCTCCCGTACAATTTAGAACAGCGGTCTGAACGGCAAAATGTCAGTGACGCTGCTTAAAAAACGAAAGGCTAACATTAAAATACAAAGTGCCTAATAAATATTTAAACATTACTTTGTGTATAGGCAAATTAATACCAATTGTTTGCCAACGTCTAAAAAGGGTATAGCTAAATCAAAAAGAACTAAATTGAAGTGCAAGCATCAGCTTCATTTTATTCTAAGGGTATAAAACAGTTAGAAATGTGTTTTTAATATTCTTTAACATATCCGCATTTTTCGCGCCAAAAGTTATATTTAAGATCTTCCTTTAATTCAATGACATCAGAATTCTGGAATGGATCGGGACGTTTATAATTTAAATGAGAAGTTGTAAAAGAGAAACAGAAATAAGTTATTTCAAAAAATTAACTCTTTAAAAACTAATAAAAATCCAGTTCCGTAACTTACACTGTCAATTAACATCCTGGTTTGGTAGTCGCACTGAAGTAGTAGTTCAACAGGCAGCTTCCTACGCAAGTTTTTGTCGGCTATCTCCTGGCGCACTCGGTCCACGATTCCATGTACCAGCTTAATGTTTAACTGGGCGAATTGCCCTCCCAAATAATGTAATTTGGGACAGGCGTGGAATAGATGCAGGATCATACTGTCACTCACTGCTTTCGAACCATTCAAGATTAACCTTTCCAACTTACTGAGACTGGCGATTGGCGCATAGTCTGAATCAAACAAATCCATCCGGCACAAGCAAAGTACACGAAGGCCGCTAAGCTTGGACACTTGTATAAGCTGTTCCTTAGACAAGCGATAACCAATGGTTAAATGCTCCAACTTCTGGTTGTTGTACTCCACTAAATGATCGATGAGTTGGCCCAAAAGGCTAGAATGGAATCGCAGTTGCTGGTCACTGCAAATCATCAGATTCTTTAGGCTTGGCAGTTGAGCTGCATATTCACAATTCCATCTGAATTCCAATGTAAATCGGAGCTCCTCAAGTGCGGGACATGAATTATCCATTACCATAGTTTTAAAGACGTCCTTATAACTGGTCAAACGCAAAATGTCGAGGATTCTAAGTTTGGTTAAGCGCTTGCAGATTTGGGGAAAGTAGCTGACCTCAAACTCCAGGCAGTTAAGCTTTAACACCTCAATGGAAACAGGTAGCTTATCCAAGGTGCGTCCTGTTATATAACTGTCACTTAATTCTAAAATCTTTAGATTGGTCAAATTTTGAAGCACATGAATATTTTCGTCGGTAATGCTCGAAGTGCATATCTCCAAAGCCTCCAGATAATAAGCATTGTCAAAGATAGAGTCTACGTATAGATGCATATTAGGCCACAACACAACATGCAAGGTCTTTAGATTTCTGCATTGGTTTCCTACCAGCCCGGCCAGACGTTCCTTCATATGCATGCCTTTAATGTGCAATACATGAGCTCCAGACATCTTGAAGAAGTCGCGTATCTCCGATATGGTACATTTCTCTAACTCATCCGAGTTCACCGACTTGTGAAGTCTGGCAGAAGCCACCTCATAGATCGTCTTAAATTGCACACAGGTCCTAGCGAAACGCACCCGATCCTGAAGCTCTAGTTTCTGTAGGATACGCTCCAAACAGTAGTCATTAAGGCCCAAGATGTGCGGTGCCCCCTGGTGGGACAGCAGTTCTTGTGGAGATTCGTATGCATCAGACTCTTTTCCATTTTCTGGCAAACAAGTATTTTTATACATCTTATACATAGGTTAACTATCTGATTATTGTACATACCATTATCATCCAGCTTACAAGCCATTTCGAGTGAATTTATTGCGCACCAGATAAGGAAGAATATATGAATTGAGCAATATTCGGGAGTCCCCGAATTACAAAGTAAAGGAAGCTTGGACAAAAATCGATAACTATTTAATACTATCGAAGTTTTCCGTTGGAAACAGTTGGGATTTTTGAAACAGAGCACTTCCACAATTTCTAACGATAACAGCTGACTTATAGAGTCTTCCCATAGAGTCCATCCCATAACAGCGGACTTAAAAAGCAGTTGCTAAATGCGAAAGGGAATTTTAATTGCTGAGATTTTCTGTTGAATTTTCAAAAATTCAGCAATTCAACAGCTTAGGGAATCTCCTGGATATCGAAAAATTAACAGAATTATAAAAACTTTTGATATGTTTAATTTCGGTAAACTGTTCCATACAAATTCAATATTCTGAAAATCCGTTCAACATTCTCAAGGCAAAATCATAACAGAGCTTCAAACTAATTAAAAGCTCATATATTAACTGAACCATTTTTAAATTTACAATGTGAATACCCCAAACATTTTCTGCACCGTTCCTTTTCGAACTAGTTCCGATCCGCGGCGCACGCGGTTTTTTGTATTTGTAAACAACTAACATCATGCTGGCCAGTATCAGCGAAAAAAGGTAACTATAATTGGTTAAACAATTTGATAATAGTAAATATACAGAATTAAATAACCCAGCTACGCGGCGGAGGCACGCTACACCAACTTCTACGCCGGCGGCGACATCGCCTGGAGCGCGGATGGCCATCATCTGTACTGCCTGAATGGAGCCGTTGTAAATCAGGTGGATGTGCAGACATCCCAAATCCAGCAGAGTTTCGGGGCAGCCGCCTCGTCGGCGGAGAACAAGAGATCGACCGAGCAGGACAACATCGATGTCGAGGATGACGCCATCACCTGCTTCGGACTGTCCCAGGAGCACCTGGTCACCGCCCACCGGAGTGGCCTGCTCAGGCTGTGGCAGCTGGCCACCGGCAAGCTGGTCAAGCTGTGGAAGGCCCAGCACAAGGGGCCAGTCATCCGGGTGGAGTTCAGTCCCTGCGGCAGGCTAATCTGCACCAGCGGCGGAGCGGACGCCACACTCAGACTGTGGGACTACTCGAACAACAGCTGCCTGGGTGCCCTCAAGGATTTCTCGGGCCCCGCTTGGCTCCTCGTCTTCCATCCCAATGTGCTGCGCAAGGAGATCTACGCCGGGGGTGCGGACAACACGGTCTACGCCTGGAACTACGAGACCAAGACGCTGCTGCACAAGATGCGGGGTCACCTCTCGCAGGTTACTGGCCTGAGTTTCAGGAGCAACTCGTCCGACTGCAATGAGGTGGTGACCGTGAGTCGGGACAAAGTGCTGATCGTGTGGCAGCTGCAGGAGCAGTTGGAGAGCAGGCAGCTGAAGGTTCTCCCACTGTACGAGGAACTGGAGGGAGTCGTTTACGCCGATGAGGGACGCCAGATAATCGTGGCCAGTGGGTCGGGCAAGTTGCAGCAGGTGGACGCTCAGTCGTGGAAGATCAGGGACCTTCTCTGCCAGTCCGATTTCCAAATCAGCAGACTGCTGCACTGCAGCGAGCTCAAGCAGTTGGCACTGGTCACCACGGAGCAGAATATCCTTGTCTATGACGTCGAGAGTCTGGAGCCCATTAAGCACCTGGTGGGCTACAACGACGAGATTCTGGACATGTGCTTCATGGGCGACAACGATCGCTACCTGGCCGTGGCCACCAACAGCAAGCACTTCAAGCTGTACGACACGGAGCACGACATGAACTGCAAGCTGATCGTGGGCCACTCGGACACCGTCATGTCCCTGGCTGCCTCCCAGAATCTGCTCATTTCCGTGGGCAAGGACTGCAGCGTGCGGCTGTGGCGGCTGCAGCACGACAAGGACTGCTCGCTCGAGGCTCTGACGCAGCAGGCCAACTGCCACACATCCACCATTGGCTGCGTGGCCATGACGCACAACGGAGCCACCGGCTTTGCGTCCGTCAGCCAGGACGGCAGCATGAAGGTGTGGCAGCTGGCCAGGTCCAAGGAGGATCGCAACGCGTACTCCTTCAACCTGCGCTACGCAGCGCTCTCCCACGACAAGGAGGTGAACTGCGTGGCCTATGCCCCGAACAACAAGCTCATTGCCACCGCATCGCAGGACAAGACGGCCAAGGTCTGGCTGGCGGAGTCCAACTCGCTGCAGGGCGTGCTGCGGGGTCACACGCGCGGCGTGTGGAGTGTGCGCTTCTCGCCGGTGGACCAGGTCGTGCTCACCTCGTCCTCGGACTGTACCCTGCGCCTCTGGTCCATCGGCAACTTTGCGTGCATTAAACGCTTCGACCAGGAGTGCACCATCCTCCGAGCCGAGTTCCTGGATCATGGCAAGTTCATCCTTTCCGCCGCTTCGGACGGGCTTCTCAAGCTGTGGAACATCAAGACCAACACATGCCTGCAGTCCCTAGACGAGCACAACGATAGAGTCTGGGCTCTGGCCGTTTCCGGCAGGAGCAATCGGATCTTCTACACCGGAGGGGCTGACTCCAAGCTGATTCGCTTCGGCGATGTCACGCAGGCAACGCGCAACGAGGCACTGGACCAGCGGCAGGCCACCTTGGAGCAGGAGCAGACACTCCACTCACTGCTGCACGCCCAGAAGCAACTCCACAAGGCCTTCGTGCTGGCCTTGAACCTGAACAAGCCGAAGGCCAGCTTCGACATTATCAACCACTTTGTGCGGCAGCGGGATGAGCCTGGACTGCGCCAACTGGTGGACCAGCTGAACGTCGACCAGCGTGTGGCGCTGCTGCAGCACGTCAAGGCTTGGACCACCAACTCGCGGCACTCGCAGGTGGGCAACCTGATCCTCAAGCACCTGATAGGCGATGCCCTGCAGGATCCCACGGCGAGATTCTACAACAATGGCAACATGGTCGAGGTACTCACACCCTACGTCCAGCGCCACTTTAAGCGGGTCACCGAACTGAACAAGGAGCTGGCCTTCCTGGAGTTCATTGTCAAGTGCATGTAGACCATAGTTTTTGATTAGTTTCTACCACGTTGCAGTTTAAATAGTTGTAGGAAAATAAAGTGTACAATTTAATATTTTAAACTTGTAATTTGATTGTGGTTTGGCATTGATCCACAGCAAGCCCATTTAAAGTGAGTGAACAAAAAAGAGTTGCTCACTAAACTGAGAGAGTGAACATGTTCCTTCGAACTTGTTCGTTATTGTTCACTTGTTCATTTTTGCTCACTTGCTCCTTTTTGTTCACTTGCTCAGTTTTGCTCTCTTACTTGCTCTTTTTTGTTCACTTGTTCAGTTGCTCTCAGGCTGTTTTTGGCACAAAAAGTATTTTTTTTTTACTTTTAGGATGCATTTTGCATACGGATTTACAGACAATGAGCTGTTTTCTCAGAGCCAGTGAAAAAGTTAAGGATAGAGCAAGTGAACAAGTGAGAAAGTGAACAAGTTAGTAAGTAAACAAGTGAGCAAACTGAGTGAGTTGACTCATTGGAAAAAAAAGAACAAGTGAACATGTTCACCCAAGTGAGCAGTTTTTACCCAACACTAATTTAAAGTACAAAAAATCTGTCATTTTATTTTGTATAACGTTTATTAGACAATAGTTAATATAACATTTATAACCACTTACGTATTTACTGGAGGAGGGGAGTCTCGACAGATGTGTTTGCGAATTTTAAATTCCAAAATCGTACAAATTTGATTCAAATGACTTGGGGAAAGGCTCTAGGGTAAATTTACAAATATACTTGGGCACGCACAATTACAATTCGCTTCCAATCCCAACAATTTTGGCAGGGCTAGGTGGATTGTGTATCGAATTGGGTTGGTCGAACTATCCTGGAAACAGGACTGATTCACAATTATATCAAAATAGACACAGGCTATGGGACGTTTTATGGTCAATTGAACCGACAGAATCCCTAAGATTATCACTGTTTTGACTTAATTTTACATTGGGTGTGCGGTGGCAGCTTAGACAATGGACATTGTGACCCGGGGGCACATCTATTCGATAATCATGATGAGGTCCTCGCCCTCGAGCTTCGTTCCGTTGGCGATCTCCAGCTTCTTGACGACGCCAGCCAATGGCGACTGCACCACCATCTCCATCTTCATGGCCGAGAGCACAACCAGGGGCTGACCCTTCTCGACCTTGTCGCCGACCTCCACGCGGATATCGATGACGGTTCCGGGCATGGGGGCGCCCACCTCGCTCTTGTTCGACTTGTTGGCCTTGGGATGCACATGGATCTCCTGAGGAAAGTAAGAAAATGCATGAATTTCAGTGCCTGCCGAAGGGATCAGGATCAGATGGAACCCACCTTGACGGCCTCCTTGTCCAGAATGTGGACCGCGCGCAGCTGTCCGTTTAGCTCGAAGAAGACCTCTCGGATGCCGTTGGGCTTGAGATCGGCGGACACGGCCAAGGCCTTCACGCTCAGCGTCTTTCCGCGCTCCAGCGGGACGTCGAACTCCTCGCCCACATTGGGTCCCGTGAGGAAGATGCGCGTGTCCAGCTTGTCGACGGGTCCGTACTGGTCGCGGAAGTTCAGGAAGTCGTTCGTCACCTGGGGATAGAGGGCGGCCGACATTACGTCGCGGTTGGTGATGCACGAGTGAGATTCCTTGAGGTCCTTCTTCAGCTTGTCGAAGTCCAGGTCCTTCAGCTCGGCGCCCGGACGACCCTCGATGCGGGGCATGTCCTTGAGGACGCGAGAGCGCAGGGGCTCGGGGAATCCGCCGTGCGGGATGCCAATGGAGCCCTGCAGGTACTCCACCACCGACTTGGGGAACGAGAGCTCCTCGGCCCGCTCGAGCACCTGGTCGGCGGTCAGGTTGTTCTGCACCATGAACTGGGCCAGATCGCCCACCACCTTCGACGAGGGCGTCACCTTGATGATGTCGCCCAGCAGCAGGTTGGCCTCGCGATAGGCCTTCTTCACGTCCTCGAAGAAGTCGCCCAGTCCCAGCGAGAAGGCCTGGAACTGCAGGTTGGTGTACTGTCCGCCGGGAATCTCGTTCAGGTAGACATCCGCGTTGCCCGACCGCATCGTTGTCGTGCACTCGAAGGGGGCGTACAGGGTGCGGGTCTGCTCCCAGTAGGCGGAGTACTCCGACACCGTGCGCAGGTCCACGTTCGTGTCCAGCGGAGTGCCCTGCAGCGAGGCCACCACGGCGCCCATGCTCGGCTGGGAGGTCATGCCGCTCATCGAGTCGACCGCCACGTCCACCACATCTGCTCCGGCATTGGCGCAGGCCAGCATGGAGGCCACTCCCGCTCCGGAGGTGTCGTGGGTGTGGATGTGGATCGGGATGTCGGGGTGCTTGTCCCGGATGGCGGTGATGAGAAGCCTGCAAAGGGGTTTTAAGTTATATAGTAATCTCAAGCAGTCACTGAAATCCCCTCCAGACTCACCTGGCGGCCTCGGGCTTGAGCAGACCCGCCATGTCCTTGATGCAGAGCACGTGGGTGCCCGCCTTGACCAGCTCGTCGGCCAGGTTGGTGTAGTACTTCAGGTCGTACTTGGTGCGCTGGGGATCGCTGACGTCGCCGGTGTAGGAGATGGCCGCCTCCACCACGCCGCCCGCCTTGCCCGCGGCGTCCATGCCGAGGATCAGGTTGGGCAGGTAGTTGAGCGAGTCGAACACCCGGAAGATGTCCATGCCGGTCTGGACGGCCAGCTCGCAGAACTTGTAGACCACGTTGTCCGGGTAGCTGGTGTAGCCGACGGCGTTGGCTCCGCGCAGCAGCATCTGGAAGGGAATGTTCGGGATGCGCTTGCGCATCTCCTCCAGCCGCTCCCAGGGGCACTCGTGCAGGAAGCGCAGCGCCACGTCGAAGGTGGCTCCGCCCCAGTTCTCCAGGGAGTACAGGTTGTTGAACTTGTGCGCCACGAAGGGGGAGATCTTCAGCAGGTCGTGGGATCGGACGCGGGTGGCCAGCAGCGACTGGTGGGCGTCGCGGAAGGTGGTGTCCATGAGCAGCAGCTCCTTGCGGCTGCGCACCTCTTTGGCGAAGGCCTCGGGTCCTCCGCAAACGAGAACCTCGCGAAGTCCTTTCGGGGGTTCCGTAACTGTATCACAAAAAATTAAGTTATTTCATGACGCTCATAAAGGCGATACACAACTTTACGGGAGTATATCTTTAAAACTGATACATTTAGAGGTTATATCTATAATCCAGAACATTATTATAAATTTAACCAAACCCCAAGCTGAACATCAAAAGCTGGTAGAACCAAAAGCTGCGTTAATAAACAATTAAAATATCAAACTTAATAAGTGTGTGGAATGAAATTAGCCTTTAAACACAAAGGTGATGATATAAAAAACACCAAAGCACATAAATATGTATAAATTAAGTTTAGTTGTATAATTTTCGGCCGTTTTCTCGTCCGTTTGTTAAATTTAAAGTAGGGTTAAAACCTTGAAATCGTATGAGAAATCAGAGCTTTAACCCTACTTTAAATTTAAAGTATTTTGAATTGTTGTATTTCTCCAATATTTGTTAAGAGTTTTTGAGGTATAAGTGTAGTTAACATTTTATTTTAATTATTGTATAGGTACTACAGAACACCTTAAGAATGTGCGTATGTACAGATGTCCTGTGGGGAAATGGGGTTTCTTTCCCTTTTTTCGATTTCGGGATAAATAAGTTAACGTACCTTTGGCCTCGCCACGCTCTTCACGATCTAGTGCTTCCTGGGACAGATCTATGTACGATTCGTTGAGTATGAGTTCGATCATGGGAACGTGTCGCGTATGAACGGGGCGGAGTGGGCGTGGTCGTGGGTTTGTCGGTGGGCGTGTTGTGCAATTTTGAATCGTTGTTGTTGTTTGGTTGTCGATACATACATAGGTGTGTGATATTGGTTTGTTGTTTTGCAATTGCCGATTTGATTGCGATTGCGATTGCGTTTACGATTCGGTATTGGTTGATTAATAACAGATGCAACAAAAATTGATAGTTGAAAGAGTAAAAACATAAAGGTTCGATTAAAGCATATCAGAAAAGCAAAGAACATTTCACAGGAGATGCGGAAAGAAAATAAACATCCACAAACATGCCTTTTCATTGATAAGTTTCGGAAATAGTTGCTTGGATTGATCTATTAAATTGGTTAGTAGATCAATTCAATAGATTCAGTGGCTGAAGGGTCGTTTACACGAAGCATTTTATGTACTGAGTTTAAAAAGAGAAGGGTTATAAATCTCAGATGTGTAAGGACTACTTATAACCGAGATAATATCATTCATAATTATTTAAAATTTATAAATAAGTCTGGAATACAGTTTTTTTTTTTTTTAATTTAAAAATACACACAAAAAAAGCATGTCACCGTAAAATCGATATGGCCATGTAAATTTCAGGTCATGCAAAACCCAGATCGTTTTTACATGAAATACCCTTTTCGACCAGGTCAAATTTACCTGGCCTCATATCAAATTAAAATTGATCTTAAATAATGTAAAATCGATCTACGTTTCAAATCGATATTTTTTTTGTGTGTTGTTTTGGTTGCAAAATTAGAAATATTTTTAAGACCTATAATCACAGCTAGAGAAAGGCAAAGTGCCCCAAACATAACAAAATTTGCTTCGCGTAAGGACACCTTCTGCCGGATGATCCGGATAGCTGAAACACTCGAAAAGCAGCAGCTGCCGTGAGAGGTGGCCACACAAGCAAGCGTGAACCCGAAAAGCACATGCCATTGAACGGGGGATCCTTCTAAGGGATTACGCTCGAAACTCACCCAGCGGAACCTCGGGAACGTGCGGCGAGACGATGGCGGGCTTCAGGGTGGTGGCCAGCGGCGTCTGCGGTCCGTTGACCAGCACCTCACCCATGTAGTTGAGCAGCTTCTGGGCGCGATTCAGCGAGGGCTTGAACTTGAACAGCTGCGGGTGCTCGTCGATGAAGTAGGTGTCGAGGACGCCGTGCAGGAACTTCTGGTTCTCCAGCACGTTCAGCAGGAAGGGGATGTTGGTCTTGACGCCGCGGATGCGGAACTCCCGCAGGGCACGGTTCATCTTGGAGGCGGAGCTCTGCAGGTCGCTGGCGTGCGAGATCACCTTGACCAGCAAGGAGTCGTAGTACGGCGAGATGATGGCTCCGGCATAAGCGGACGCACTGTCCAGCCGGATGCCCATGCCCTCGCCGGAGCGGAAGACCTCCAGGCGACCGGTGTTGGGCTGGAAGTCGTTGGCCGGGTCCTCGGTGGTCACACGGCACTGGATGGCGTAGCCGCGGGGCACGATCTTGTCCTGCGTGTAGCCCAGCTCGGGCAAGGTCATGCCCTCGGCTATGCGGATCTGCGACTGCACCAGATCGATGCCCGTGATCTCCTCGGTGACCGTGTGCTCCACCTGCAGACGGGCGTTGACCTCGATGAAGTAGAAGTTGCCGGACTCGTCGCACAGGAACTCCACGGTTCCGGCGTTTTCGTAGCCCACGTGGCGGGCCAAGCGCACAGCGGCCTCCGTCATCTTGTCCCGGATCTCGATGGGCAGGCGCGGAGCCGGCGCGATCTCCACCACCTTCTGGTGGCGACGCTGCACGGAGCAGTCGCGCTCGTACAGATGCACCACATTCCCGGCCTTGTCTCCCAGCAGCTGAACCTCAATGTGACGCGGTCGCTCGATGAACTTCTCGATGAACATGGCCCCGTTGCCGAAGGCCGCCTTCGCCTCGGAGCTCGCTCGCTGGAAGCTCTCCTCCACATCCTCCATTTTGCGGACGACGCGCATGCCACGTCCGCCACCTCCGTAGGCGGCTTTGAAGATTACGGGCAAGCCGTGCTTCTTGCAGAACTCCAGGGCCTCCTCTTTGGTGGTCACTGGACCATCGGTGCCGGGCACAATGGGCACACCCGCCTCAATGGCCGCCACTCGGGCCGCCACCTTGTCACCCATCTTCTGGACGACATTGGGCGAGGGACCAATGAAGCGCAGTCCGGCATCTATTACCGCCTGGGCAAAGTCACTGCGCTCCGACAGGAATCCGTAGCCGGGATGCACGGCATCCACGTCGTTCTCCTTGCACACCCGGATCAGCTCTGGAATGTTGAGGTAGGCCTCCACGGGGGGCAGACCCTTGCCCACGATGTACGACTCGTCGGCCTTCTGTCGGTGCATGTGCATCTTGTCCTGCTCGGAGTAGACGGCCACCGACTTGATACCCAGCTCCGTGCAGGCACGGAACACTCGGATGGCGATCTCCCCGCGGTTGGCCACCAACACCGAACGGATGGGCTTGTACTCCACCTGGAAAAGGGGCGTTATTTAGATTGCTTTCAGAGGGATCCTATGCGATACTCACCTTGCTGGAATAGCCATTTTTGAAGAGCAAGTTGAGCCGGACGCGCGGCTGCGTCTTGCGCAGCGTCTTGTAAGCGGACTGTGCGGCCGGAATGAACATGGTGATCCCGCCTAGGACTCAAATTTATCTGAAAAGGCAAATTAATTTTAGTTTTAGGGAACAAAATCTCGAAAACTTTTAAACTATATATTTTTAACAAAACTGTACGATTAAAGTCTTTTTTCATCAGGTTAGCTAAAAATTTATTTATGGTAATAATAATACATTTCAGAACTATACGTCTTCAATGACAGTATTTAGGTTATTTAGGGGGGCGATGGGGTGGCAATATAATGACCGCTCTGCTTTACGATCGAGAGATTGCATTTAACGCTTTAATTATCTGTTAATTTCAAAAGCTCGATTGCCAAATGCCTTAAGGTTATCGACATTACTTTCGAAAAAACAAACAAGCGGCGCTGGAAGGTCTCGTTTTTGAAGTTGATGCAATTGGAAATCTATTAGCACTGCGAGTTGCGCCGACTTTTCATCCCTTTCAAGTATAATAGTCATTAAATCATGTGACTATTAACACAATTTGATTTTCTTTTTAAAAAAGTTGTACAAAATTTATAACGAAAAAATTCTTAAAGAATATTTGATTAGAATCCTGGATTTAGGTTGCTACTATTTTGACCGTATCTGTTTGCCCAAGTAAAAGTTTAATCTTCGGCTCAAAGTCCATCGATTGTTTGCTGTTTCGGTATTATTCCGCATAAAAACAATCTGTCTGCTCATTAATATGAGTTGACTCACGTGATCAAAATCCAAAGCGGGTTTTAACAAATGCACGACAAACTTGTTGAATTTTATTACAGCCGAACATCTAAAGACCCTAATTGAAACGTTAAAACTGTATATTTTTAATAGAAGGGTTAGTAATAGATTAACAAATATTTACAACTGATGAGGCAGCAAATACTCTAGCACGTTTTCGCACTTGAAGTTTAAATAATAGTCGGGAATACTTAGCGAGTCTAACTGTTTGGATCAACGTGGGTCAGGAAATAACAGATGTGTTAGCTCATAGCTACAAAAATACATATATAATAAAGAATCATTATTCGACTTTATTTATTGTTTGTTTGAGTAATTTTTATACCCGTTACTCGTAGAGTAAAAGGGTATACTAGATTCGTGCAAAAGTATGTAACAGCTAGAAGGAAGCGTTTCCGACCCCATAAAGTATATATATTCTTGATCAGGGTCACTAGCCGAGTCGATCTAGCCATGTCCGTCTGTCCGTCTGTCCGTCTGTCCGTCTGTATGAACGCTGAGATCTCGGAAACTACAAAAGCTAGAAGATTGAGATTTCCCACACATATTCTTTGGCTTCCTACGCAGCGCAAGTTTATTTTAGCCGAGCGCCACGCCCCCTCTAACGCCCACAATCGCCCACTAACGATTTTAAAATGGGTCCTGCGCCCACATCTTTAAAGACACTTCGATCGTTGACTAAGACAGCGATTTCACTGCTGATGATTGTAGTTGGCTACTACATGAAACATGCATGTACAGTGAAGCCTCTTCGCTCCTTTTTGTGTGTTGGCATAATGCCGACGTCTTGGACTTCTTGAAGTCTAAGCCGGCATGACCTCGAGTTTGCTAAAAACTTCTCTATAACGAAAAAAGGTCGTATCAAAATAGCCAAACTTTGGACAAAAAACGGTCAACACGCCGTAAAAGGCTGCTATATGGAAGCCTAAAAATATGCAGTAATGCATATTCTTCACAATCTGCCACGGAACTCTGATAGAGATCAAAGACAGAACAAAGTCCAACACACACTAAGGGCTTGATCAGCTTTTCGAAGTTTACCGATCTGGCGACGCTATAATTCCCAACCAGTTATAGCGCGGCTTACATGGTAACCCACTTCGATCGTTGACTAAGACAGCGATTTCACTGCTGATGATTGTAGTTGGCTACTACATGAAACATGCATGTACAGTGAAGCCTCTTCGCTCCTTTTTGTGTGTTGGCATAATGCCGACGTCTTGGACTTCTTGAAGTCTAAGCCGGCATGACCTCGAGTTTGCTAAAAACTTCTCTATAACGAAAAAAGGTCGTATCAAAAAAGCCAAACTTTGGACAAAAAACGGTCAACACGCCGTAAAAGGCTGCTATATGGAAGCCTAAAAATATGCAGTAATGCATATTCTTCACAATCTGCCACGGAACTCTGATAGAGATCAAAGACAGAACAAAGTCCAACACACACTAAGGGCTTGATCAGCTTTTCGAAGTTTACCGATCTGGCGACGCTATAATTCCCAACCAGTTATAGCGCGGCTTACATGGTAACCCACTTCGATCGTTGACTAAGACAGCGATTTCACTGCTGATGATTGTAGTTGGCTACTACATGAAACATGCATGTACAGTGAAGCCTCTTCGCTCCTTTTTGTGTGTTGGCATAATGCCGACGTCTTGGACTTCTTGAAGTCTAAGCCGGCATGACCTCGAGTTTGCTAAAAACTTCTCGATTTCCGAGAAGTATAAATACAATTTTGTTGTGTATATTTATACCTATCGAAATGTAGAAGACATTTTTCAAATCGGACCATTCATTAAAAAGTTATACGATTTATAAATTGTCAACATATATCTATCTCCCTCGCACTCCCTTTAGCTGAGTTACGATTATTAGTCGGGACACCAACCCGTCACAGCGTTCGCACTCCCTTTAGCGGAGTGACGGGTATTATATAGTCGGGACACCAACCCGACTATAGCGTTCTCTCTTGTTAAGATTAGCTTTAGCCAATAACTTGTATATCTTATATGTTTTTTCTTATTATAAAATATATTTGTCCCCTCACCGGGTTCTCCATATTGTTCTAAACTTTTATTTTATCTTCACAAGTACATGCATATATGGCCACTTAATTAGCACCCATAATGTAAGCAAACAGTAAATTATTGCAGCCGCATTAAAACGCAAAAAAATGACTAAATGATACTATATACCGAACATTTTAAGCTATGCTAATAAAGAGTATTCAGAGTCCGTTGATTGCCAGCTGGTTTTCGCCGCACATGTCATTAAATATTTTATTTATTTTTCTGTCTGTTAACTTTAAGCTTGTTTTGCTCATTATCACCGATTCAAATGGGGTTTGTAGCCCCTTTCGACGATGAGACAGATCGGTGGGCAGGTAAGTGGTGCAAGGGTGCGTCAGGGATCGGCTTTGCTGACCAGACAGGTTGAACTCTCTTTTGCATTTTAGATTCCCAAGCCAAACCGACTTCAAATGGTCGACACAGTAAGTACTCTTTATTCGATTCTATTTTGTGGGGGCTCGACTGATAGTGCCTCTGCGAAAAACCAGTTGACCAAATATACTAAGTATATAAGTCTGGCCAAAAAAAGCCCCATTTCAAGTGCAATAAAAACTGGAACGAGTTGGGAGAACTGGTCAGGTGACCGACTGATCTGTGATCCAAATGCGAGGAGTTCGCTTGGGACCTTGACTCTGAGCTAATCGGTTTGATAACCCTCTTCCGATGGGGTTCAACGATTGACTCTATTTTTGGCCAACACTTTGCCGTGTTTACCATTCGTAGTTGCAATTAAATGGCTGTTTTCGCCACCGCACGTGAAGTGCATGCCCTGCTGAAAGTGGGGTTCCTGGGGTGCATAGATAATCAAGAACCAATGTTGACACTTGTATAGGATGTGTGACACAGGTGCAGATAATGGGCGCACGATAAGCTCGCTTTATTAACACATCGGAGGTCGGGCTACAGTAAATATTATCATTCCCGGTGGGAGTGCACATTTAGATGGAACTCCTGGGGGCCCCGTGTTTGGGATCTATAAATAGTCGCGACGTGATGGAAATCTTCGGTTTGATCAACTCTAATTAAATTTCCCTCTGTTAACATCAATTTTGTTTGCTAATTTGATTAATTTTCACCATATTACTTCACGATTATGTTATTAATTACTAGATATAATAAACTTGCTCACAGCCCGCACGGTATATTATTGGCAAGATAAGCCCAATGTCACCCTGCAGAACGGAAGAGACACTCGACTGCCAGACTTTAAGAATGCTATAAATGGTAAAAGATAACTAAAGGGAGTCTCATTCCCTGTGGTTCCCCACATCCTAATACTATATTTGCAGTTTTGAAAATGTGTTCTATAACAAAATAGTTTTTGCGCTCATCAGATTGAGACAGTCGCGGATTTAGGTCAGTCGTCATATTAGTTCCCTTATCTAAATGGCTGGGTTTTATAATAACATCGCCCTGAAAGAATCAGGACAGAGTCAGTCATCGATGGAAGCCAAAAAGTACAGTCAGTTATTCAAAGCAAAAGTTATCAAATATTCTTGGACCTTTTGGGTCACTTTCAATAGTTATTTAAGAGTTATTGCAGGTTTGCTTAGTCAAATCTTATCTCTGGCACAAGCGGAAATTATAATCGGAAGCTTTTTGTTATCGCTTGCCACTGAAATTAAAAGGACTTGCAATAAGTAATTTAAATATCGATCTGTGATAAAAAATATACCTATATCTTTACTTTCTAATTAGAATTAAAGCTTTTTAAAGAACTGGATTATTGGCTGCCTCTTTGAAAATTAAAGCGCATTAGCATCAGAATAAACCGAATGAATGCATGTCTAACAAATTGTTTAGCATGTTGTGAAAATAACACGTATATATTTTCGCATGCAACTCCGAGTTTTTTCAGGTATTTCTGGGATATCTCTGGCACCTTTGGCATAAGCTAAATTTCGTGCTGTATTTCTGACAATATTTACAGGCGATCAATTATCCTGTTGCTTCGGCTTGTTGACTGGGTGTGTTCCCGTGTTTTCAGTAAGGAAAGTGGGCGCAGTACAGTCCAATCTCATGCAATTTTACGAAAACGTTGTTGACACGGCATACCAAAACCCTAACCGAAAACCAACCCCAAAGCCCGATTGTGTTTGCCCATCAAAGTGAGCGATTATGTAATAATAACATGATAATCAAACTAACTACACACATTGTGCACCAGAAATAATAATGGAACGCCACAGCTACTTGAACGAATTTTGTTTTTGTTCACCAACTTTTGCCCAGAGAAATGTGCGTGCCTATGATTTCCTTTTTTTTTTTGCTCAACAAACGTATGATCTTGAACGACAAGCTGCTAAGGTCAAAGTCGCTTTTGGATGTGGGTCGAACATTGATTTGTTCGCAATAAAGGTGAGGATTGAGAGGAAATAGTGAATTCATGGATGTAGCTGTAAGCTTGTTACTTCCGATAGTGATTCAGAAATTAGAATTTCTCTTAAATAGTCACACCAAAGTATTTTGATTCCAGATTCTGAGTTATATAATCACTTGTGACGTGTTAAAAACAGTCGATTAGAACCTGCACTAAAACATAATTTCGCAATTTATAACAATAGGAAAAATGTTTTCAATAAAAACTAATATTCTTATCTAAAATCCTGTGTTTTTACAGCCATAACTGGAGTCTTGCAAATGTAAATCTCTTTATTTTTTTTTCGCATTTTATACTTCAGTTAGTATGAATAACTATTTAACAATATGTTTTTAATACAATTTCACCCCTTTTTTAACAGCAAATATTTTTTGCACTTAGAACTACACACTCGTTCGAAAACTTTTATATTTATTTGAGCACCCCGTCTAGAGTCTAGACCTTATCACGCCGAATGAATAGCTGATAGAGACGAAACTTTGACATTGACTAGTCCGGGTCCAGCTCTCCATATATGTTTTACTGCCTGTCGTGCACGGCAAATCAAACGCAATCAAACAAATCAAACTGTCCCATAAACTGGTTAGGTTTTGGTTCACCCAGATCACTTTCATACATAGATCGCACATTAACTTCATTCGCGCTGCACATGCGAGCTAATTTGAAAATTATGCACAATACATATAGATTATGGATCTATGTTTTTCGGGCTGTGCGACAAACACGTTTCACCCAATGGCGAAACCATAAGAAGGTCATAAATATTGGGCGGAAAAAGTAGGATGAGTCCGAAAATAAAACAGCCACATTTCCCTCTCTGGGATGGTGCGTATGGGTGTGTGTATGGCGTGTGGGCATGGGATATGGAATAGAATAAAATGTAATTAACACATGTCTGGCAGAGAGTGACGAAGGCAAATTACAATGGTGGTGTTTGGAGGGGCGGGGTATGGGAGGGCCAGGGAAAGGGACCCACCGAACCGAGTGGAAAAAGAAATTGAGCAAAAATTATGCAATTAATTTCCTATGCACTTGATCGATAGACGCAGACAAACTAGCTAGGGTCCACTGAACCGCCACTTACTTCTTAAGGCAAAAGTTCCAAAGGAGCGCCCTGCGCCTGTCCTCGTGGTCCTGGCGGCTCCGAAATTCGGGTAATCGCTGGCTCCAGCACTATAAAACAATTTTAAACGAGTCGTGAGTCAACGCTGGTTCTTAGGCTCCTACATCAAGCTCAGCACATACAAAGTCACGGTTCCAATATATGTGGCTTTTGTCAACTTGGCGGCCTCTTTTTATTTGGGCTTTTGGTTTGGGTTGGTAGGTAGAACAGCACGAGTTCGCAAACGGTTGCTGCACTCTGATTCTCAGCTTTCTGCCCAGGAACTCGCGAACCGTTCACTTCAAAGCTGTCCGTCGGACTGGTCGGGCGCAAAAAACTCGAAAGTTTCGACTAGTTCCGTGGAGAGTGGTTGTGGCCCCAGCGGTGCCAGAGCCACGAACATTCTCACCGCTCGACGCACCCTCTCCCAATCTCTGCGGCTGCTCTCGCAATTTCGAGGCCTGCGCGTGCTCGTGCTCCCTACCGGCAATGATTTGTTCTCAAATAAAAGTGGTATGAAGCTCCGACTTTGAGTTACCCCTCAACTACTGAAACAGTTAGGAGCTGCGACTCCTCTAAAATAAGAACTCTGACCCCTATACGAAAATTTTAGGTACGGACTTCTAGGACTTTAAAAATTTTTTGTTTACATTTTCCTGTTATCAATTATTAAAATCTACCCAGCCTGTTCCAGTTTTCAATCGGAAGTGAATTTGATTTCAAGCTAGCGGATTTAAGTCCGCCTGTCAAATGCTTGTCGGAAAGTTTCCATGTGAATTTTTCGGAAGTTAACAGAGTAACAACGAGGGATATTTAAATCCTTGCAATTCTTTCGGAGGTGAGTCCTGGAACTGGTCTAAGAAATTCGATTCCGTGTGAATCTTTCGGAAGTGAAAACTAGAACAGGGCCGTACATTTTGTACGAAAAGTGATCAAATTCGAATGTATCACAAAGGCTTTTATCCATATGTTACACATTTTCAACTGGACTAATATACCCTTAAATTACCCGGAATAGAGACTGAAACATCATCGAACTTTGTCCTAGCGGCAAAGCTGTTTTTGTCGCCGTATGCCGGTCGCGCAAGAGAAATTTCTATTGACATTGGCCGCCGGTCGAAAGACTGAGAGAGGTTGGGAGGGCGGGCGTAAGAGCAACAGCTGTTCGCACCCAAAAAGACTCAGGTTCAAAAAAACCCGATTTACTAGAACTTTATTACTTCATCCAGGATTACTTTAGATTTTGAATAAAATTAATGGGCAAAAAACTAATCCAAAAACTTTAAATTTAAAAAACTGACTGATGAATTACCAAATCAAAATAGCCTACTGGGAAACAGCAAAATATTACAATTATCCAAATTTTCAAACAAGGGTTTTGTATAATTTTCGGTTACCTCATCACTGGAGTTTGTAAATATAGAGATGTGTATATGTATAATCTTTAATTCGGCAGTTCAGCCTGATATAATGAATATTCAGTGGTGTTATATTTATATTATATTCTAGAAGAGATTGTGAGACAAGAAATATATATATCAAAAACTAGTAAAACTCAACTAAAGAAGATATTCTTAACGGCATCGATATAATTTATTAAATTGAACAGAGGAATATATAGAATCTATCGTTCCTACGATTGCCAGGTATAAAAAAGGAAAATCACATCCCAACCCCTGATATGGATATTTTATGCTCATGGAAACTTTCAGAACATTATGGGCTTGTTGTTGTTTTTGTTTTGCGTATGCTCTGGCCATTTCTATCGGACGTGTGGAGCTTATTATATTAACAGCCGGTGTGTCTACATATACCGGGACTCGTTGGCAGAGTCTAATAAATCGTATGACTCCAACTGATTTTCAAGATTTGGCGCTGATTTGAGCGAGTAAGAGAAAACAGAGAGGACTCCTCGGCAACACTCTCTGTTATCGCCGGTATCAGCTGAATTTATTGAAAGCTCTCGCTCTTTAAAATACATCTTGGCGATATACCTACAAACTATGTATATGTAGGTAGACACGTGTATTCAGAGGTTTTCAGATTTTTATTTTTATATTGCGGCACGCGCGATTGTGGCAATAACAAAACTGGGAGTCTTATCACCAGACCGAAAGAGGGGCCAACAAGAACGATGTTGCGTATGAGCGACGGCAGATATAACGGCTAGATAATGTCCAAATGAGGGAGTGTTTATCTGCAAACAGAGAAATGTGTTAGTAAGGCCCATGTTTATCCATAAATTATAAATTTCTTAAATCTTTTTGAGATTCTTTTATATAATGACCAACAAAACTCTTAAAACTAGTCTTGTTGTATTTTATTGCCAGTCTTTTATGAAGAAGCCTCTTCATTTCCAGAATCTTTGAACTCTGAAGCGGCAGTCAGAGCAACAGTCAGAATATACAAATATAAGAAATCATAAAAACTGCAGCTCAAAGTTTGAATTTCCCACCACCTCTATAAAAAAGATTCCACACACTTCTGGGAGATTATAACGTATTGGCGAACAGATAAGAAGGGCCACGCCTCCGTCTGAATGGAAATCTTTCATAAGCTATCAACCACTGGTGCAAAAATAGCCAGTCATACCTAATTACTGGACAGGCCATATCTTATCAGCTCCAAATGCGGGGAATTAAACTTTAGTACCCTGCCCCAACGGGGATTTCTATCACCTTTAGCGCCAACAGATGGAAAAAAGTTTATATTATTTAATATTTGATAATATTTGAGAAGAGTATTCATTGGTCGTTTAATAGTGTACTTCAAACATAAAAAAATAGTGGCAGTATCATACACGTGCCGCTTAATTTAGTACGTCGAATTCCTCATGCATACAACGATAAGGTTTAAGTTTGATTTAGCTCTTTCCGATTTATGGTTTTAACAGGCCATTGTATCAGTTTCCCAAGGTTGCGGACTCAAAGGTGCAATACTTTGAACGAAAAGGAGCACAGCATTCCTAGACACCCTGATAAAAATACCACCTACTAAGATAAACTAAAAACTAATTTAATTAAATTTCGAAAAATAATTTAATCAAAGTGCAAAGTATATTTTGATACTGACTAATAATAAACTTCCTGACATAAACAGAAAAAATGGGAAGTGAAGACCTCGTTGTTAAACGACCTTCAGGTTATCTATCTTTTACCCTATAAAGACAACTCGATACGCAGAGAAAATATTGTAATCGTTGGAAGGTATGTAACCCTATAAAGTTTATATATTCTTACGATATACATATGTTAGTGTCACCAGCCGAGTCGATCTAGACATGTCCATGCATCCGAGTGATAGTGGAAACTACTGGAGCTAGAGAGATTTCACAAGCAGATCCCACACTTTTAAAGCTAGAGTTCAAATTAGACATGTAGATTCTACTAGAGCCTACGAAGGGCTATAAGGAGTAGTGATTGTTACGTGGGCATAGTGCCCTGCAAAGAGAGACAAAGACGTCCTTGTTTGCGATACAATGGATATAACGTAGCAACATTCGTCTCGTCTTATAATTTTCCAACATTTTCAAACAACCTTAATTCGATGGCAAGTATCTTATAAAAATATCTTGTTTTTGAAAAACCGTTGTTATTGACACTGAGAGAAAAGCTCGTCAAAAAAAGTTTAGCATACTTTTTGGTTTAAAAGAAATAATAGCTGGATTAAAGAGGAGCTTTTTTGGGATTTCGAAGGTTTTAAATGACAGCCTTACAGTTTTTTAAATTAAAATCATTTCTTTATGTAATTTCTAACATAGTTTGACTACAAATCCATGATGTTTATAAATACCAAGGAAAAAATGATTGCCAACCGAAGTTTCAGCCCTTATAAAGGCTTTTTAGGACAACAGCAACAGCAAAAGGGCAAGATTGGTGGGGGAAGGCATTCGTATAATATGTAGTAAACAAAAGTCAGCTGTTTTTCGTTCCGTTTTTGCAAACGCAGTTCACAGAAATAATAGCAATGTTTATACTACGTTCCAGAACGATAGTAAAGCCGAAAATCCTTGCTCTTCCAAGCCCTTTTTGTCGTTACCTACAGTACAATCAAGGTCAATCTCCGGAGCCGAAAATACGCGAGTACTTTTACTACATTGATCATGAGGGAATGGTAAGTCGCAAAACTATCAACAGTTCTTTGAACTCTTAGAACATCTTTTGTAGCTCTTTCTCGACGATGCGAAGATGAAAAACTTTACTAGCTGCTTCAAGGAAAAGGATTTTCTCAGGTTCTTTTTCAATCGCCTGCGTCTGAACAAAACGAATCGATATGAAAAGGACTTTCCCTACATTTCTCTCTGTGGACGCGAAAGGAATTTTATACGATGCGATGACACGCCGCTTGTGTTCACCGAACAATTTAGAAAAGACGATAAGGAGGTGCTCAGCTATGCGCACTCGGGACAGGTCCTAACGCTGCCCTACGAGCCCCATAAACTGTACATGGATCCGCGAAACGGAAGGGTCTATCATCCAGCGACTCCACAGGTGGGCGGAATCGGCCTGGTGCGCTCCAAACTGGCCATAGAACTCAGTCAGCACTTTGAGTTTCCCGCGGGCCAGGCTTCCCCCACTCATTTTCAATGGAACGGGGAACGATTGAAGCTGCAAAACGACTGGGTTGGCAATACCCAGCGATTTCCCATGAACGAGGAGTGTTTATAATCGAGTAACTTTAATGGATTAAATTTGAGACAACGTTAGTACTACGTAGATAACTTACAGAGCCAGTATAGTGCTTTTATTCAATGCTGAGGGGCTTGAACTCGCCCTCCTTCACCCAGGAGAGACCAGTGGCGTGGCCTCCGTTCGCCTGTTGCGAAGAGGGCTCCGTCTGCTTGCACCTCCCGGCCTTGATGCGATCCAGAACGGGTCCATGTACGTCTGGCTGAAATTGCTCGAACACTATGTAGTGCGGATCCTCCGTGGGCGGAGTGTCGTAGATGTGCTCCTTGCTCTCCTTCATGTTTTCCAGGACGCGGGCCGCAAACTCCTCCTTGTTCGTCATTAGCAGCTCAGCAGCCTCGCTGTTCTTGAGTTTGTCCACTTCGATGCCACGGATACTGTCCAGGGGATCGGAGAAAATGGCCTGCATGTACTTCAAAAGCTGCCAGAGGTGATCGTCGCCGCATCGCCACTCCGGAAAGGCGTGACTCACGTCCAAGGTGTGGGTGTACGGGCACACAAGGGGATGCAGCACAGCCTGCTGGAATATTATGGCCTACGGGGGGTGTGCTGAGTAATATTCCCTTGGTTTATTTACGACCCTACTTACCGGAAGACTTTTGTCGTCGGGAAAACGATCAGGCAGTAAAATGGAGAAGCGAAAGACACTTTCCGCATAGAAGCCCTGCCGTCCGAAGAAGACCCCGAACCACTCTATAAAAATATACAAATTGAATTTAGGGTTTGCATTTAGTTTAGGTTTACTAACGCAAGGAATTAGCATAGCTAGGTATCACATATGTGCCACTCAATTTCTCTGACTCGATCATTTTGCTAGAAGCGAAAGTAAAGAAAACTTTGTTAGATAGTTTTGATAGTTGTATACGCCGAAAACTCACTACTCTGCCAGTATTTTGTACTCCTGCTGGATGGTGGCGATGAGCAGCTTGTCATCCTTCTTATTCGCGTCCAAATCGAGAGTCATTTTTGCCTGACAATTAACAAAAAACACAAAACTCGTAAAATAAACAAAACTGGGTATTTGGTGCTTCGCTGAACAGCTGGTTTTAGTAGAGCTGCCAACTTTTCGCAGTTTAATTGTTTTTGGTAGTGATGCCACCCTTTCGAAGTCACCAAATATATTTTGCAGCCCTGGTCGTTCAACTAAAAACAAAACAAAGCATGCGGCCTTCGGAATCCTGACAAATATGACTACTACTCTAGAAGCCCAGCTCTCAGATAAGTTGCAGATGATGGAGGAGATCAAGGACACAGTCCAGGAGCCGCTAAAGCAGGACGCAACCAGCTGTGCCTCCATTAGTTCCGACGTCCCATCTCCCAGTGCAAGTGCGGCCAAAATCGCTGGGCCGGAGCCCGAGTTTTACGACAAGGCGCAGAAGTACTGGTCGGAGGTTCCAGCCACCGTCAACGGGATGCTCGGCGGCCTGGGCTACATCAGCGCCATCGATATACAGGGATCCAATGTGTTCCTGCGCGAAATTCGAGTGCCGGGCAACAGGTTGGCCCTGGACTGCGGCGCCGGAATCGGGCGGGTAACCCGAAATCTGCTGATCCCGCGCTTCAGCTGCGTGGACCTCGTCGAGCAGGATCCCGCCTTTGCGGAGAAGGCACGGGAGTACTGCAGCACGGATGGCGTGAGTCCCGGCAAGGTGGGCCAAATCTTCAACGTGGGACTGCAGAGGTTCGCGCCGTCGCAGCAGTACGACCTCATCTGGAGCCAGTGGGTGCTGGGCCACCTCACGGACCGCGATCTGGTCGCCTTCTTCCGGCGCATCAAGCAGGGCCTGGCACCCGGAGCCTACTTTTGCCTAAAGGAGAACGTAAGCAGCTCCAAGAAGACGGTGGAGGACAAGGAGGACTCGTCGGTCACCAGACCACTGGACAGCTACGAACGGTTCCTCAAGGAAGCCGGATTCCGCATCGTGCGCAAGGTCAAGCAACAAAACTTCCCAAAGGGACTCTTTCCGGTCTACATGATTGCCTGCAAACCCGTCTCCAAGGAATAAGCTTAGCATTTAGTTAGTTTTAGCATTGACGTACGAGCCATTGTACTAAAGTTATCCCAGAAGCAAATTCAATGTCACATTACTAGCTAGTCACTTAAAATTTAAACGTTCTGAACAATAAATAGACAAGCTTGCAAGAGCTTTTAAACGTTCCTTAATTGATGCATTTCCTATAGTATTGCCGAGAAACTGCGCACAAAATATTGGGTTGTATCGTAATATATAAAGTTACTGGATTTTACTTATAAGTTTAGATACAAAATTATTTAAGGGTCATATTCGGTCCCATAGAAGACTATTTTGCAGGGACCGTAAATAATCATTATTTGAGATTTTTATTTTAAAAAGACTACTGTGATATTTGGTTTTAAACGTCAAAAATAACGTTCTTTTTACTCTTGTCCGCAAAGTATATGCATTTCAACAAATCTGGAAAGCAAATTAACTGTTATTTGTTCATGCCTATAAAGTGCATAAAAACCAGTTAAATTGTTGATTAAAACTTGTAAAAACCTCAGTAGGCCTTTTAAAATAAAAATCTCAAATAATGATTATTTACGGTCCCTGCTATTTTGTACATTGTTTTTAGATAATAGAGTTATAGAATAATTTTACTTTTGTTTTATTTTTGGGTAGAAAAGATCTATAAATTAATAAAATTAAAAATAGAATTTGTGCTTTAATGTTGGGAAGCATTCAAATAAAGAATCCGTTACAAAGCTTTTCTATAAAACTACAGCGTGGCAACTCCGGAAAGCTGTGTCACATTTCAAAGATCAGCTGCTAAGCTTTGGGCATTTCCAAGAAATTAAAATAATCAATGCCGCAGCTGATTTAACCAACAAGTTCAAAAAAAATATGTGTATTCGTCAGAAAGTATTTATAAGCTTCACTGACAGAACCCCTTGTATTTCGAGTCGCACTCGAACGCAAAACAGTAAAAATGTTATGGATAGGATCATTTGGAAGAAGGCAAAATAGGAGATCAACACCGAGAAACCGTCCCCAATTTGAATACAATAGAACTCAATTACTTAAAAAGGAAGGAGCAGACTTTAATGAAAATGAGTTACGGCGGCGATATTGGCAAAATAAAGAACAATCGTAAGTAATCGCACACTTGAAAAGCGATCATATCATATCCCCTAGTTTGGAAGAAGGCAAAACTCGAGATCACAACCGAGAAGAACCAATTTGAAAACAATAAGATAACAATCATTTAAACAGGAAGAATCAGAAATTAATGAAAAAAGGATTACGGCGGCGCTATTGGCTAAATAAAGAACAATCGTAATATCATATCCCCTATATCGGAAGAAGGCAAACTAGGATAATAAGATGAATAAGAAGGCAATAAGATACCAATCACTTAAACAGAAAGGAGCAGAAATTATTGAAAAATGGGTTACAGCGGCGCTATAAAGAACAATCGTAAGTAATCGCACACTTAAAAAGCGATCCTCAGATAGTGGCCTCATTCATAAAATCATCTTGAACAGATTAAGTTCACTTTAATACAATATCAATCATTAAACTATTTAACAAGAGAGAACGCTATAGTCGGGTGGCCCGACTATCAGAAACCCGTTACTTAGCTAAAGGGACGGCGAGAGAGATGGATATATAAAACTTTGATCGCGCATATCTTTTTAACGAATGATCCGATTTGAAAAATTTCTTCTACATTTTGATAGAAGATTGATAAACAAAATAAAAATGAAATTTTAATTTTCGGAAATCTTTAAAGGTGTGGACACCAGATACCTTTTAAAATCTTTTAAGGCGATTGTGGGCGTTAGAGGGGGCGTGGCTCTCGTCTAAAACAAACTTGCGCTGCGTAGGAAGCTCAAGAATATGTTTGGGTAATCCCAACTTTCTAGCTTTTGTAGTTTAAGAGATCTTAGCGTTCATACAGACAGACAGAGTGTAAGGATATAAAGTTAAGTTTAGAGTAAAGGGTATAAAAAAGTTTACAAATTTTGCTTAAAATATAGACAAATAAATAGATTGATTCCTCGTAGGAATTCTCCTCGCAAATTCGAGCAAATTTGGAACTTATACCAGGATAACGGCACCCACCTTCCTTGTGCAGTAGATATATTTAATTCCTTTTAATGCTTTTTTCTCAAAACCATGCTTTTCTTAGCTGCGAATCGTGTATCTCAAATGTAATGATACGATCATCATGCTGCTTTTACATAAATGTTTGTAATAAAATTGCCCACTGTCTGAACCTACGTTATGTAGAAATAAATTATTATAAATTGCAGCTGCATTAGCCATTACAAATTCACAGAGAAAGAATTTGCTTATCATAACAAATAATGAATTTTTATGTTATCAGTTATACATAATTTGTTATCAACCACCGAAAGTATGTGAGTCGTTCGAAAGAAGTTCATACTAATATAGTTATACCCGTTACTCGTAGAGTAAAAGGGTATATTGTATTCGTGCAAAAGTATGTAACAGCTAGAAGAAAGCATTTCCGAACCTATAAAGTATATATATTCTTGATCAGGATCACTAGCCGAGTCGATATAGCCATGTCCGCTTGTCCGTCTGTCTGTCCGTATGAACGCTGAGATCTCGGAAACTATAAAAGCTAGAAGATAGACATTTTCCATTCAGATTCTAGGAGTTCCTACGCAGCGCAAGTTGGTTTCAAAAGAGTGCCACTCCCCCTCTAACGCCCACAATCGCTTATATACGATTTTAAAAATTTCAATATTTCGGAAAAATAAAAATGCAGTTTTACTGTGTTTATTAATACCTATCGAAATGTAGAAGAAATTTTTTAAATCGGACCATTCGTTAAAAAGTTACGGCGGATCAAAGTTTTTATCTCCATCTCCTTCGAACTCCCTTTAGCTGAGTAACGGGTATCTGATAGTCGGGGCACCCGACTATAGCGTTCTCTCTTTTTTTTTAACTAATTGTGGGTCCCATTGCTTTCCATTCACTTTTTCGTAGTCTTAGGTGTAAACAGCAAAGCGTTAAACCCCCAGCTTAGAATGTTAATCAGAGGAAAATATAAGAACATATTAATCAATTGTGAAGGAAAGTTGTTTCTAAAATGAAGCCTCTCAAACTTTTCAAATTGGCAATTCAAGCATTGACCACAATGGTGCTAAAAAACTTCCGCTTACTGCGATGAAAAGATAGGCTTTTAAACTACGTTTAGATGCCAAACTAATGGACGGGAATGTCTGTTACGTCTTCAAAAAATTACTAAAATGAGATGAGTCTGTAAACCCAAAACACCAAAGAATTTTATAACAAGAACAAGAAAGAGAAGTTCAGTAGTTTGGGCGCTTTTCCATTTACCAGGGGATTAGAGAACACATACTCAGAACCTCACTCTCTAGCCTCAAAGGTATTAAAAATTCCCGTTTCTTTGTTCATTGCTTCAGCTTGAACTAATGTTTTTTTGTACATTATATATTTCTAAAATGGTCTAAACAATTGAACCGCAAAATTTTATGCAAAATATAATTCTGAATACTAAACAATCATCAGCTTTAAATAAGAATAAAACTGGACCCGCTAAAAAAGTATGCTACAAAAAATTTATTCTAATAAGTTATTAGAGATAACCAAATTCTCGATCCGCTTTTGTTCCCCGTTTTAATGTAGTAAACTTTACCAAAAAAATACTAACCATGTCATTTAAGCTTCAGCGTTTCCCAGAAAGCTTTAATTTTTGATTAAAAGATCTGTTTAAAAGCAAAGTTTGTTTCTTTCGTTTATACACACAAAAAAATTGATTGGTAAATTTAACCGATATTTTTGAGCGTTGTCAGTCAGTCACAACACCGCAACAGCATATTATAAGGTGTTAATAGCACAGGGAACCGATTGTGTTTACTGGCACACAACCATTGAATTGTCAATATGACCCATGAAATAGCTCTGGCGCTTTATTTATTTACTTCGATGGCCGCTAGAAAGTCTTATCTATTTCATAATTCAAATTGTTCTTCATCGGGGGTGTCACAGAAATTATTTCCAACCGAAATCCGTTAAAGTTCTTACGTGCATCAATGCAAAATCCAAGATTTCTGTGACACCCCTGCATATGTGGTTTGTACAACAATCTTTGTAGGCCTGTTTCCATCAATAAAGGTGCAGGAATGAATGTGGATTTTACTTGTAAATGATTTTAGAAAAAAGGAGGATCAAGCTTAGAAGGAATATAGATATATTTCGGTTTTCTTTAGCGTTGTGCAAATCTTGACGAGTTCCCTTGGATGGTAAATCCTGAACCATACACAGAGAAAACTAGTAAAAGTTTTTGATGCAAAAACTGGGGTGAAACATTTGAAAAAGTAAAACGCTTCATACAAATTTAGTTTTTCATTGGATTTTTAAAACTTTTTATTTTCATTTTAAAAACATTTTTACCCTTTTTCTGCACCTAAAACGTCACAAAATTTTCTCTGTTCAGTTATTCCCTATAGAAACTAAGACTAAATAAATAATTCTTACACACACCCAAAAACCGGTAGATAAAATGTAACCATCAAATAGTTACTTTTACTTAATACGTAAACGATAAAGCTAGTATTTCAGAATTTCAAGTTTAAACTTAACAAGAAAGGAAGCTAGCTTCGACCAGCCGAAGCTTATATACCCTTGCAGATCATTCCTATTTATTAACAAATCGCAAAAAGGTTTAATTTTTTAATATTTCTCATTAATTTTCCGATCGTTCCTATGGCAGCTATATGATATAGTCATCCGATTTTGATCAAATTAAAATTGAAATTCGGAAATATTTAAAAAGAGTCATATCCTAGAGTAGAAGATAATACAATAAAAACCAAAGAAGCTAGAATTTATTTCCTATTACTTTTCCATTAATTTTCCGATCGTTCCTATGGCAGCTATAAGATATAGTAGTCCGATTTTTTAAATATTTAATTCGAAATTCAAAAATATTTAAAAAATAACATCCCCAAAAGTAGAAGGTAATATTTCAAAAAACACCGAAGCTAGAATTTTTTTAACGTTTTTATTTCCGATCCTTCCTATGGGAGCTATAAGATATAGTTGTCCGATCCGGTCGGTTCCCACATATATACCACCTGCAATAGAAAGAAGACTTTTGGGAAAATTTCATCCCGATAGCTCAAAAACTGAGAGACTAGTTTGCGTA